GAAGTGTATGGTTGATGTAAAAAATGAAGTCAGTAATTTCGACCGTCCGAAAGAAGCACTTATTTTATAAACTAAAATTTGACCGAGATGTGGTCTGCGATACTCTGCAGGACAGATTAATGAGGGCGATTAGTAGAATATTCAATGCAGCCAAACGTGCGTTGACCTTCTCAAGTCGACCAGCGATGTCTATTCAAACGAAGGATAAGTTACCTGAGTTGGCCTCCTCTATGTGCATTTACAAATTCAGCTGCTACTGTGGAGATAGCTATATCGGGCGTACTACCAGACAACTGAACCAAAGAATGAGTGAACGTCTCTCAGCATTCTTTAAGAAGGGTCAGTCAAAAACAATACGCAGTTCGATATTAGCACACCTGATTGACAGTGGCCATAATGTAGATAAGTCTAGATCTTTTCGGGTGATCTATCGTATACCTCAATCATTTCCTATCCGAGTTCGATCCCGTCTCCTACACATCTCAGAGGCCATAGGAATTCGTACATTCAACTCCAGTTTATGTGTTCAGAGGAAATTCGTGACACCCCTATCTCTTCCATGGCCGGATATGACGTAACTAACGATTTAAGATTTAAAATTTTTTTCTTTATTTCAATTCGATTTAAATTTTATTTTGTTATTATTAGCATTATTTTCACACCCTGTATTTGTTAGTAATTCTCTGCCTCTTTCCGTTTATATTCTTCACTATCTAAGTAAATTGGAATGTCTCTTGTAACATGTTTGTTATTTGAGAATAAATTATTATTATTATATACACACTTCTTAGTACGTAATGGTTTTAATGTTTTGTAATGATGATTTCAAGTCTGTTTATCCACGTTTGACCTGCTACTGATAAAACCTTTTTTATCGTATTTCATTTTTCTTACTACTATCAGTACACCTGTCTTCATACTATCAATTTGTACTTTGGCCTATTATGTGCAGTGACGTAATCTATTTCATTTCATTGTGATTATTGACTTAAATTGCCTTGATTGGTTAAACATTTTCGAAAAAAACACTCATGTATATTAGAGTAAAGCTTGATGACGATCTAATCGGAAACAATATTGTCCGCTTATATGTGTTGCTCTGATTCAAGTTTTGTAGTTGTGCCTCCTATATCTAGGCTGCATGTGACGGTATTATGATTGCTATCTGGGAACTTTTTTCCAGCATGTTTAGTATCAGGAAACAGATTGCTGTAGAAAACTAAAACCAATATATTTTGAAGTCTGGTTGTACCGTCAACATGTTGAGTCCACTCTTCAAGCTCTCAGCATCCTGTAAATGATTCATATCGTTTATGTATTTTGATTGAATGCTTCTGACAATGATGCTGGACCTCCAATTGATGCGTTAGGCTGACGGTAGATACAGCCGAACAGCAAGGAAACCGTATTGGAGGTTCTCTGAACGATCCACACAGAATCTGGCAATCTGTTTAGTTCCGACATATCACATAAGAGTGAGTTTATCCTAGAATGGGCATATATGAGGCATCCTCTACCTCGTCCTTGTAACCTATCACTTCGAAACAGATCATAGTTTTCAAGAGATATAGTAAGATCAGAAATATCATGGGAGGTTCATGCCTCAGTTATCAACATAATGATCGGCAAATAGTCGCAAACATAACTGAATACATCTTCTTACTACAGATCGAACGAGCGTTAATAAGGCCTATATTCAACAAATGTCCTGCTAAGCCTAAACAGTTTAGAGTATCTTGAGTAAAGGAGTTACTCACACCTACATGGGTGTGGTATGAGGAGTTAGGAGGGGATATGTTTGTAGAATCCAAACTGAGGTTTGGCTTTAGGAGCAACTGTTCAGGAAGTTTAGGTATGCGCCTTGCCCAGTTGAAATCCGGAACAAGTGATTTGGGTAAGTAACAGTTCTATTATTAATTATAGATATAAATATACAGTACAGCACAAATATACAAGACAAAGTGTTTCCAATTCTGGAAGAATGCTCCTATTTCCAATCCGAATTGCACACTTCCAGTAAGTGTCAGCGTTTCAGACGCCAGGGGAACAATATCAGTATAGCTGTCGCCATAATTATGTATCAACTTAAACAACATAATGCAGTTCGGAAGGAACCATAGAAACTCAAAAAGGCACAAAAAGTAGGAACTATAACGAAATACAAATATTATCACTCCAAAATGGATTTGAACAGATTACCAAAATATAGAACTGAAAGAATCAATAAGGATATATTAAAAATGTATACATGGAGGTATTTTACCAAACAAAGCCTTACAGGAGGGGCTGTTATCCCTGGGAAATGAGAGACAACGTTGCCTGTTTGAGATTGTGTTAGGGGAGTGTTTTTATAATCTGCATGAGATGACCTGAGCGATATATTGCGCCAGAGGTACCACGAGTGGCTGTACCCAAAAACATATTCTGATTAGTTTGGCAGTGCAGTTCACCACCGTTTTTAGTATAGTCTTGATGATACAACTCGTCACTAAGGTTATATTTATTCGGAATGGTGATAACTTGGGGACGGTTTGCCGTGTACAAGTGCCAGTTATTATGACCTTTTCTAAGTCTATAGGTCATGTTTACCAGCTTTCTTGGTAGGGTAGGATGCATCGAGTTTTCATTCTTAGCGTCTTTGCGAATAGAAGCTTCAGTATTAAAGAAAGGGTTCGGGGTGAAAAGTCTTCTACTTCCACATTTACTAATAACTCTAGGGTTTGGTGGTTGTGCAGTGCACCTAGATCTTAGATAATTATTATTTGTTCATGTGTACAGATGTTGGTCTCACATGTTCTTAATATTATCAGTCTTACAACTTAGAGAGGCTAGTGGCACATCACATAACATTAAGGGGTGAACCTGTTCATCGTAGATTTAAAATTCGCAGGCAGACGGGTTTGAATCCCACCTATATTTTATTTGAGACCCAAGTTTCAGTCTGCTTACATTACTTAATTAAAGATGGACAGTATTTTGGTCTCCTAGACGTGCTTTTCGAAAAATATTTATTTTCTTTTGTATACTCTCGTGCTTTATAATCTGGGTGTCTAGTCTTAAATTTATTAGTTTTAACTGGAATTGTGTTGTTCTTTGGGACATATTCAATCAATTTAACATTCGGACAGCAGGGAATGCAGGTGTCGTTAGATTTCTCGGTGACAGATGGGATTCGTACTTTGCTAGAATATTTTCAGTACACGTGCTCATCAAGACCTACTGGGTGGTTTATGTGTTGATTAATATTCATGACACTGAGAGGTGTTTCCAGTATATTGTCTGCTGTGACACAGTCATATGATCTTGCTGCCTCTCTCTTTTTTAAACGACGTTGACAGGGCGTTAGAGCTGAGGTAACCTTCATGTCTTTGTACAGGGTTGATGAGATAATATTTTGCACAAATGAATAAGTTATTTGGTGTCGTTACAGCAGCCAAATTTGAACAAAAGTGTGGAAGTCGATCTGTCAAACATTTTTCTAGGGCGTATGACACGACAACTGACCTTGGCCATACCACACGCTTGTAGACGTATTCCATAGCGAAGACGAGGATGTGCGGTCAAGAAGGTAATGTGCATTCGCATTGCAGAAAGACGCTAGTCTTTTCGCAACTTCCTCAGGAACAAACTACAGGATGTATTCAGCTTTGCTTAGCTCCTCGAGGTTCCTATCATTATTTGAGGCCCGAATGGGCGTGAGGTGTGCTAAATGATTAAGCTTATCTTTAATTTGAGCAAGTGAGTTTTTTAACTGTCGTATATCGCCGCCATGGCTATCGCTCCTATGAGCGGTTTCGTATACATCATTCAACTCCTTGGTCAGTGAACTTTCAGATTTTGGCTTCTCAAGATTATACTGAAGCCTATTCTGTGTTTATGTTTCAGCATGCTTTCGTATAACATCTCTTATATCTACGAGTTTCACTGCTGGTATACTAAATGAATAGTTTTTGCTCGGATCACTGGCTAAGGATGGGGAAATCTGTTGATAAGAGGTACAGGTCTTACAAGAACAGGGTTTAACTCTTCTAATAACCGATTCGTCAGACATAGGGTTTACTGATTATGATCTTTTGGGTGGTTTAGAAGTTGAAGACGTTTATCTTTTACTCGAACTATTGGTCATAATGGAAAATTGAGTATGATAATTGTTCGTCTAGTTAAGGCAGATATATAAGGGTAAAACTCGTCGTGTATTAACTGGGTTAATACTAAAATCAGTGGACGTATGGAGCGATTTTATGGATAAGACGTTCAATTATTACGTGTAAGAATTACTGTCAGTCGATTAATAGGTTTAAACCAGTGTATTCAGAAGTCATGAGCATTATCAGACTGTTTTTGGTCTATATATAGGGTTTCGGAATGTTATTCCACGAGAAGAATGTAATAGCAGATTAAGAGCCATAGCCTCTCCAGTCAACAACTTTAGGAAGAGACTTGATAAACACTTACTCACATGGGGATTATAATCATCTTCGTGGACCAGCTTTGCTTGTCACTTGTCTTGAAACGTGTTAGTTGTTGTTATTATCATTTCCTCAGATCCATTACTTAATCTATCTCGCCTGTTATCCCTGTTTCCTCTCCCTTTCTTGCCGCTCGGTCCTCTCTCACAATCTTCACTACAAATTAATAAACTAAATTATCGGATTATTTAGTTAGTTCTGGATTCTTCTTATTGGCATTTGAATCTTCTCTTGATTATTTTCCATATTTCAGCTAAATGATCTCCGCTCGCGTGATGTGATAGCTGCTGGCATCCAGAAAACCTATTGCACTGAAACAATCGTTATCATTCAAAACACGGGGCAGACAAACTCACAAACAACTGCCAACTGACTGGAATTAATGCATTTGAGTGGCTAGACCTCCATCCATTTGACTCTACCAAACACCTGGAACCGTACCGAAAGAACAAGAATCGAACGCAAAAAAATAATTGGTTTATACCGGCTCGTGAAAAAACATTGGATATTGGAAGCACACAAATCGACTATTGCGTCACTAAACCTTGAGATTGCTAGACGGTTTAAAGCAATCCTGGCATAACAAACCGTTTGGTCAACCTTGAAATCAGGGATACAACTACGTTCTAATTTCAGATGTCGAGTTATGGACTAATAGTTGCATTTGTGATTTTAACATTTTTTTACTACTCAACGGTTTTTGTCTGCCATTCAAAAAATGTGAAGAAAGCCACTTTAAAGTACATGTTGCTAAATTTTGTCTATTTTTTAATCGATCTCTAGGGCTCGAGTTAAAGAAATGTTTCTCCACGCGTATAACAGCTACAAGGTATGTTTTATTTCATCATTTCCTATTTTTGTTGTAGGACAACGCTTTCCCTGCTGATGAATTAATGCCACTTACCTGTAAAGGTCGATATCGGTGGACTGGGGTTAACAGAGGTGACATAGATGACGCTTTAGGCAATTTCTCGCTAACAATGCTTGATACGCTCGATAGCCTTTTTGTAAGTCCTAAATGTTTGAAGTAATATTCTTCAGTTAATTGGAGAGCTGGATGAATTCGAAGTTGCTGTGAAAGCCGTAGTGATGACTGTAAGATTTGATTCTGATGTTGATGTGTCAGTCTTTGAAACGAATATTCGTGTTCTCGGGTATGTATTCAAATTTATTTTGTTATTAGTTGATTACAAATTCAATACTCAGTTCTCTCTGTTTCATATGTGGTTTTAGTTATTAACAATCTTATAGACAAAAGACCGTAGTCTTGTCTTGGGTGTGATCAGTCACTAATACATTTACTGTTATTATTTTCTGTTCACCTCTGTATTTTAAAACATTAGTCTACTAAACAAAGCTATTTTTTGAGATAAAAACATCCAGTGGAATGTAACACAAAATATGACACGTTAAATTTTTATGGAAGATCATTTGTCCGTCACAGTCAAGTATGGTCAAGATGATGCAGTAATGTAGCTCAGTTATAGAGGGACGTGGCAAATTTTTAAACGTCAGTTCTAATCTCATTTTTGATTAATTCGTTGTAACTGACAGCCTACTATGTAAGAATATAAATAGTTGTAAATTTTTGTATATAAATTGTATTCTTAACTGTGCCATCCAGGTGAGAAATCACATTACTTTTAGCAGTTGCCATCCTAATCCAAAAATATGCTCGATCACTTCAGTCTAGTTTTTAGTTTACATGTTTAAATTTATTTGGTAATAAATTTATTTTCAGTGGTTTATTGGGAGCTCATATCGCCGTTATGTCAATCAAACAAAACAATAGCTCCCGAATGGATTGGTATAAAAATGAACTTTTACAAATGGCGGTTGATATTGGCGACCGGCTACTACCTGCTTTTGATACACCAACTGGTATTCCTTATCCTAGAATTAATCTTCGTTATGGGTCTTCGGGTTTGAAAAAACAAGAGGTTAGCGTTTTTGGTAGAAAATATCCATAGTTAACATCACGGAATGTTAAACTATCGCTAAAAGCCAAGAAGCATCGGACAGTTGTTTTGCCTTAGTATGGAAATCCTTAGTGGTGTGCATCAAGGACGCCTCATCGTCGGGAATCCAGCTCGTAACCTTCATTTTTATAAGCGAATGTCAAAACAACTGCCCAGTATTTCCTGGTTTGCTTAACTAAGATCATTCAGTGATTTCGTCGATTAATTAAATAATCTCCATAAACCTCTAAGGTAGAAAATTTTTATTTAGAAAGCAGTTGAACTGCCCATGTGTTTATACGTACATGGATGCTATGTGTTCTGTTCTGTTCACGCTCATAATTTTTTAGAGGCCATCGGCTTCATAATTTGTTCAATGTTTGGACATTATAGGATTTGTGATCCTAAAAACACATTCAATAAATCCGAAAGTAAAAATTAGCGAGCAGTCAAACTACGGTAAAAGACAGATGTTACTGTACATACGACATCACCTAGTTGTGTAATTAGCATGGTACAAAGGTAAACAATTCAAAGTAATAATATCAATGATGATGAAAAGTGCAAAACCCAGAAAGTTTGTTACTTGTATAGAAATTAGAAAAGAAAGAACTAGTATGTAATTGTATCTCAGTCGTTGCAATTTGTAAAAAAATATTGACTTCAAATTCCCAATTAAGAATTCTGGTTGTTTCATAAACTAGTAACAGAAAGCCTGCATCCTTCTACCTCTATTTAACTGCTAGTCGTGGGTTGATTATCTTTAATACTTTTTGTATCTACGCCTACCGCTACATAGAGTTGTTTATGTTCAAATTTATCAAATCCAATATGGTATTTGTAACCAGTATTTGCAATGGCACAGTAGCATTAATTCTTTATCTTCCCTAGGATTCTAAGGTTTTGAACTCACATTTGTTTCTGCTTTTCACTGATTTATATTTTCTTGAATCTTATCCTAGACACCTAATTCCTTCTTTTACCAAGGATATTGTTACTACCTCTACTACTCCAGAATTTGGTCTGACAATTTCATCTCTCTGCGTTAGTGTGGTATAGCGACTTGAACTAATAAATGTGTACACCGGGTCCTACATTGAGGCTGATATATACATATATATATCTTCATGCTTATACAAATGAGTCTGTAAGATTGATTGCATGTAATGGCCTACTCATTAATTTCTCTTATTCACTTAAGTATCAGTTGCTTAAACAGCTTAATGACTCACTCGAACTCCCATACATATATTTATTTGCGCTAAGCGACACCTGTTAATTCGTCTGTCTTATCGTGTGCTTGCTAGTCACTTACCTCAAGTTTTGCTTAGATAAACGGTTGCCGCAACCTTGTTTCATCCTTTGGAAGTTGTACATCGTTGAGAATTATAATATTAGTGGTTGTTAGGTTGATTCATATCCTAAGCATTGCATTGGTCCCGGAGATATTCTGTAATAAGTCTGTTTATCTCTCTACTATTGCATTAGCTACAAGGATATTCATACGATGAAAGATAACCATTGTTATGGATAAAAAGAACTAAAGACAGTTCTTCGAAAATAAATTATTTTCGACATAATCACTTACTGAACCTATTTGGTCGTGTATATATTCTATATGTAGACATATTTACATTGATTGTTATTCTGGATTTATTCATAGGAAAATACTTGTACTGCTTGTGCAGGCACAATGATCCTTGAATTCGCTGCTTTAAGTCGACTGACAGGCAATCCGATTTATGAAGAAAAAGCCGCTAAAGCAATGGCATTCTTATGGAAACAACGTAATCGTTTCTCAGATCTTGTTGGTCGTGTAATCAATGTACGTAATGGAAATTGGATTCGTCAAGGTGAATATCATAAATACATTTACTTTTTTTATGTCTAACAATATATGACATTAGAAATTAAGCAAGACTAAAACATCCCGTTACTATTGGTGATATTTTATTTTTGGACAGTTCAGTGAATCAATTACAATAATCTTTTACTTTCATGATTAACATCTTATTACTAAGTAATTATGTTAAAAAAAACTTGTCAAGCAACATTTTGCAATATTAATCAATTCGTGACTTGTTATTTCAAATGTAGTAGGTATTCATATTGTGATATGATGAGGTTGTAGACCTAGGTAATTTAAATCCTACCACTTCTTCTTCCGTTCGTGTTATTTTGTGATAAAAATTGTGTATTGAATTACTTCTGTCTCAAGCGAGTTGTCTATTAGTTCTCTAACAATCCAACTGATGCTTACTGTTTAACGTACTTTCCTTTGTATTATCATCTTTTGATGTATTAGTAAGTCAGAGTTTATCATTTTATGTGATTCTAGTGTCCTTCGCAGTAGTACATATGCTAGGAATGTATGTTAAACATTAGAAAGTTATATACACTATACAGTCATTTTGTCGTAGTTCACATCAGTGATTTCATTTAAGATTGAACCCTACACACAGAGATCTCTTACGTAGTACAGTACAAATTAACCACTAGTTTATATATATTCAAATTTTGCTTTTTAATGATGTTGATAATATATATGTAAAGTGTACAATGTGATTAATGCCGTGAACTGTTCGATTACTTATTCATTCTGTTTTCAAATCTAAGTAATTTGTATCGTTTTGAATTATTCAACCAGTCAAGAGTAGATTTAAGTCAAATGAGTTTTCTGTTTAGAGATTTAGTTTCAATAATGATTAACTAATTGAACATGTCATACCATATTCACATAGAACTAGAAAATACCTGTTGAAATTTTTAACTTCTATACATTTATAGAATCTGGTGTCGGTGCAGGAATTGATTCCTATTATGAATATTTGTTAAAAGCGTATATACTACTCGGTGAACCGGTATATTTGCATCGTTTTCAAACACATTATGAAGCGGTCAATCGATATGTTGGTGGCCCACAATCTGCGGAATTCCCTTTTCTATTCTTGGATGTACATATGCATCGGCCAGCACAACGTGCACGTACATTTATGGATGCATTATTAGCTTTTTGGCCTGGTATTCAAGTGAGCAGATATTTTTTTTTGTAGAAATATATTTATTATTTTACTATTGCATAATATCTAATATTTTGCACAGAACATTTTTATTTATCTCACAACTCATATCAACATTTTTAATAGTAAAAAAAGTAGACTGAAATAACTGTCGTTGTGTTCAACGCTCCGAGTACTCAATAAGTTTGAATAATACCTTCGATCCGCTAATATTTTCCATTACTGCTAATTACTCTACTATCTTTACCACTGTGGGATTTGAACTGACAGTTGCGTCTCTGTGTTAATACGGTAGCAGGACTTTTTTCAGTTGTGTACACACAGTCTATCATGTTATAAACATGAAATTAAGTCAAACAAATGTTGGTATATTTTCATCAACATCTTACTGTCTAATTCTATCACTAAATTAATTATTTATTTAATAATATGTCTGTGATTGTTCGCTTATTCTGTTATCTTTATTTATCTATTGTTTCATTAATTTTAAACACAGTCGATCAATAAATTACTACTCATCTACACACATTATGATTGATATTTCAATGCACACTGTACATATTTTCTTCCAGTGTCTGATCTGATGGCCGACATTTAATTTGTAGCGTTTATATGTCCTTAATGAAAATCTATACCAGCGCAAATCATATTTCTCTTCCAGAATTCGCCTAAATATGTATATGCGAAGTCATAAGTTTTTATGGTCGATCTTCATTGGACCACTGAACAGTGTTGAGCAAACAGGAGAACGCATACAACTAACCACCTGTAAAATAACTGTAGATTATATATATATATATATATTCTAATTTCACCGTAAACAACAATTCATCAAGTTAGCTACAATATCAAAAACTATTTATTTCTATTACTCATCTACGTAACCGACTCTGTTTTCATATTTTGCAATTTCTTTGAAGCTCACAATCCTAAACTATGGTTTATACTACTTGAAAACTTCGCTTCACAGAAAGTTTAAAATCAAGTTTCGACCTTTTTGTACGTTAATTCGTTGTTGCTGAGCAACATAGTTGAACAGGTTAGCAAAGTAATACTTCAGCTTGATCCTGACACTTCAAACGGTTTAAAAAGGAAGCTTACCAGAATCATCTCCATGTCAGATCAACATGTGCGACTAGGTGATAAAACTCCATCACAATTAAAAAAGATCTAGGGTTTGTAATTAGGTGGTAAATAGGTTGACAGTTAACGTTGTAATTCGATGCTAAACTATGAAACAGCCATCAACCTGGATAAATGTGAGTTTGAGAAGGAGTCAGACACAACACTACTATTCCCCTTCCTCATTTACCTTGTTGTATGTTCGACGCTCCAAAATGTATGCAGTCGGCTTAAGCTTTTTAAAGAACTTAAAGATTTTTGCCATTGTTTGATAAAGTAAAAAGCATTCTCAATTGTTTTCGATTCATTTTGTCTTTTTTTAAACTCAGGTTCTTACAGGTGATGTGAAACGTGCTGTTGCATTGCATGAATTATTATATTTAATTCATAAACGTAATAAACTTTTACCCGAAGCATTTACACCAGATTTCAATGTACACTGGGGTCAACATTTACTTCGACCGGAATTAATTGAATCCACTTATTTATTATATCGTGCCACTGAAGATCCATATTATTTACAAGTTGGTGAACAAATTGTCAATGATTTAGAAAAGTATACACGTGTACCATGTGGTTTTGCAGCAATTAAGGTTTGTGAAGTTTTAGTAACCTTTTATCTCTTCTTTTTTTTTTAACACGTATTACTTTCATGTTTTCAACGAACGACTGACTTAGAACGTGTGATTAGCTGCTATTCTACCGATCCAGAGTTCATCACTATTTCTAAAGGTTAATTTTGTTGCATCGATTGACCTTGTCTGCACGAAATCCGACTTCATTACTTACGTAAATGCTTTAGTCTTTATTTCTGTATACTAGCTTAAGAAACCCAAGGATGTTATTAAATGCACAGAATTAAGTTTTAAAACATAAAACATTCTACCATGCAGCTGGAGTTCTCAATCTCACCTTGTATAATTTTATTAGGACAGCAGATTAGTATAAGTTTAAAAAACTTAAACTTAATAGTACAAACATGTGTTAAGTTTCTGAATTACAATATACGTGTTATTAATTGGCACAAAATCCTTGACGTCGGATTCCCTATAAAAACAGACGGGAAACACCAGCTGTAAGTTTTTCATTATAGGTATATTCAAAGCATTTCTCGTGTATGATGAAACAATCGATCAAGCAGTACTGAGCTCAGTCATAAGGTAATTAATAAAAATCCCAAATAGACTGAAGACAATGTGAATCTTTACGCAATATATTTGTATTTATTCATTCAAACACAAATGTCAGTTCAAAAGGGCACTGAAATATTTATTCACTCTACATTCAAAATGAGATTGTGGACAGATAGAGAAAGAACGCAAGTGTCAGTCCCATAGTGATAGTGATAGTAGAAGTATTAGCAGTAATGGAGAAGATTAGGGATCGAAGATATGATTCAAGAAGTATAATTCAGTGAGATAACTCTAGAAAGACAAGTTAGAGATGATGAGGAATTCAGAAGATTAGAATTTCTCAGAACACAAATAGTGGATGCACCTGCGCCACTGCAAACGACTTTGAGCCATTTCGTTCAAGGTCTCTAACCATCGGTTACTTTCGTCTCGCGGACCCCAACTAGTTAGCCTACATCTACCAACATGACTTAGTCCACTTATCAGTGACTATGGATTTGTGCTATGTTTTGTTTGGCTATTCCCAGCTTTCTTCCAACCCATTCCTACACCGCAAAATATAGCTTGACGAGGCAGTCGGTGGTTAGACATACGCAACACATGTTCCAACCACCTCAAGTGATGGATTTTCAATACTTCATCAATTAATCTGCCATCCCTACCTAGTACTCGTTTTCAAACAACAGCATTGCTTACTCGGTTGTCCCAGGATATATGAGCAATGCTTCGAAGACATCTCTGATCGGATACTAATAACCTACTAATATCCTCAACTCTTACCGGCCATGTTCCGCATCCATATAGTAGGATAGAGTGAACTGCTGCACAGTACACTCGTCCTTTGGTTGGTAGACGGGAATCTCACCTACTCCATAAGTTACGCAAGATAGCAAGAGTCATTGGAGCCTTCTGTATCCGTGCTGAGATTTCGTCAGAAGTCAGGCCATCATCACTGATAAGACTCCCGAGATAAGTGAAGCGGTCTATACGCTTGACTACTTCATCCTCTATCACTAATTCAGGTGCCGATGCAACCCAATCTTGAAGCAAAATTTCGCTTTTCGATGGGGAAAACTGCATCCCGAATTCGCTTGGATTGTTGCTTAGGGTAGTCAGAAGACTCTGCACTTTGTCAGCTTCTTCACCAAATAGGACTATGTCACTAGCATATTCTAAGTCAGCAAGCGTCTCGCCTGATAGAAAGTCTACTTCTGAAAATTCAGACGATGATAATGTGAACTTCAAAAGCATGTCTACGACAAAGTTAAAGAGGAACGGAGAGGGTGAACATCCCTAACGGACACAACTTGAAGTAAAGAATTCCGATAACAGTTCGCCATAAGCTCTCACTCGACCAGTGGTGTTCGAGTAGAGAGCCTGTACAAAATTAATGTATTTCTCTGGCACACGTTTTAATAACAAACACTGCAGTAGAACCTCACGATTCACAGAGTCGAATGCCGCTTTAAGGTCAAGAAATACTACTATTGTGGGTCGTCTGAACGTGTGCCTTTGTTCTAGGACCTGACGTAGTGTGAATATCTGGTCTATACATCCACTTCCAGGTCGAAAACCAGCCTGGTTTTCTATGATCTACTCTTCACGAGCTTTCGTTAATATTCGGAGTATTTTAACAAAAAACTGTAAAACTCATCTTTCTCCTCGTCTAAACTGTAGTCAGTGGGAGCGTAGGCGGAGACAACGAAGAGGCAACGGCGATTGGCCCTATATTTCTGAGTTCCTACCGTCCCTTTCAGTCGGACAGTGCACAAGCGACTATTTTCTAGGATCCAGTCTAAGAGAGCTAGTTCTGCTCATTGCTATACCTACACCAGCGAGACCCCTGGAAGCAGCATCGGGGCTTTCAGATACACGAAGAGTAAATCGAGTTGCTTGTTTATTTTGACAAGGTGAAATCAAATTAATGGTTTTACTAGAATCGTCTATGCGCGTTTCGGAGATGCATTATAGATCGATGACGCGAGATTCTGAAGTCGTAACTAAGGAAGCCTGTTGGCCTATTTGACATAGTGTCAAACATGTAAAAGCTCCAACATGTAATTTAGAACAGGGTTTCAGGAGACTAGGGATAACGTTCCAGGAACTCGAATCGTTCGCATCAGCGATGCAGTGAGATAAAGGAATGTGAGAAGGGTTGGTCGTGGAGATAAGACAGTTATTAGGAGGTGTAGTAAGGATATGATTGTGACCGATTCGGTCTCGTGCGCTTGTATGGGTAGGAGAGCGAATGTCCTTTCCCGGCTGCCCACACTGTGGAAGGGTGTTTCTTGAGGAACTTTAAAAGGAAGGTAGATTAGTGTTGGTCTCAGAGATCTTTGAGTGTGACCACAGAGCTTAAGGGACAACTGCTAGAGTCCGGTCACGCACGGCCTTTTTATGAGAAGTTTCTAAAGCATTGGCGCCGCTCTTGTTTAAAAGCATTTACCACCGGAGACGGAAATCCATAAGGTAACGTGAGGTGTTACTTTCTTAGGGCCAACATTTTCTATCTTATTCCGTCCTTGTGAGAAGGCAGCATCGTTGCAGATGCTGGTTGTCCGAGGGAAACCTCTTACTGCTGTCACACCCCTTCGCGGTCAGCAGTACGACTTTGCCCTCAGACCTTGAGTAGCTGCTTTTAGTCTCATCGTTCTCCAATCGATCTGCCAGGTACGGTAGATCCTTCAGGGACTTATGTTCCAGCCAATGTATCTCGGTTGGATCATCACGATAGGCAAGCGTGACCACCGCGTCAAGATAGCAGCTATGGTCGGTTGGTTTCTATTCATGCTGTTCCTGAATGTCTAACCGAGTCTTGTTGTTTATCGTTTTATTTTCATTTCACTGTGCTGATATAATATGACAATTCCGGTTGATAGATATTTGTGCCCCCCCCTTCTATATTATGACTGATTTATTGACAACATATTTTGATTGGTTTAACGATTGGGTTCGATATCATGTAGTATGCATTTCATTATTTAGTCAATTACGTTTCTTCTAATAACGCAAACTGTTTAACAGGTATCATCCTGTATGTGTGTATCTTGTATGAACTTGCGGTTTTATGCAACTGTTAGTGTAGATATGAATTGCTGACTAATAAATTTCTAGTCTAATGGACAACACATGTCCAGTGTAATAATGTACTGTATTTTCTTTTCTTTTTCTTTTTTTTTTCGCTTTTATATTTTCATTTCTTGTCATGAAATAAATTGTTTTGTTTTGTTTTTTTGTTAAATATGAAATCATCTATTATTATATTGTATTAATTTTCTTTTTATATCACTAATTATTCAATCGATATTGTTATTAAATCTATGCATCATTAGGATGTACGAACTATGGAACGTGTAGATCAACTTGATTCATTTGTTCTTGCAGAAACATTTAAATATTTATACTTGTTATTTGCTGAACCATCTGATATTCCAATCAATGTAGATGATTATATTTTTACTACAGAAGCACATCTTCTACCATTGAGTTTATCTCGTCAACGTGATTCCATTAAGAATATATTTCATAGTACAATTCATAATGTTTCTTTATTATTGACAAATACATCATCACAATATATGAATAGTAGTGCCAAGTCATTACAACAATCAACATCATCAATCCCAGATCATCATGGTGATCGAGATGTGAAAGTGGAAAGATTATTGCATAATGCAGCTCAATGTATGGCTGTAGGATATGAGTATAGAAATCGTATTGAGTGTATTTTAAATAATTCTATAACACGGCATAATACTACTGATATTACTACTAATAACAATAATGATTCTCTTGATCATAATCATTCAAATTCAATATGTGATATATCAGAAACACCTGGTTTCTTTTATGGTCATTATATAAAAAGAAAATTACCGAAATGTGATAATTCTAATAGAATTTTATCAAAATCTTATATATGGAATATTATTGATGCTATACGACAACCAGTACGTCGAATAGCTGCTATCAATCTTGACAAATCAATACATGATTACACTGACAGTGTTCATCATCCACAGCATAAATATTCACCGACACAATCACCATTGACATTGAAAGCAATTGATTTTCAACCGGATAATACATTACATTTAAATATATTAAAAAGTATGGGCATATCAATGTCATTTAATGAAGATGGTCGATTAACTTTAACACATCATCAGAATGCTGTAAGTGACTGAAGTGATGTTTTTTATTGTTTCTATTTTAACCGAAAAATAGTTGTGTTGTGACTTTCTCCATTGTTCCCTTATGATTACTCACTAGATGATTACTCTCACCTAGATCATTGTACTCAGCATTATTGTGTTTTCAAGTTCGATATTCTTCTTAATGACAGAATTAATTAGATGTAATATATAACAGGCTAATAGAAACACAATAGCTTAACGCAGTAACTTATTACAAAGTTAATGTAAGAACTCAATCAGTCAGTTACAACGTAGAACTTTGATCTGTTTCTTGATCCTGTGTCACCTATGACTTTTCTGATTGGTTGATAAATTGAGTCAATGTCGATGTGTTTGTTGATTGCTGATTGGCCTGAGTGCCAAGCTTCTAAAAATTCTCTAGTGTTCTTTGTCCTCCCCCTACCCAGTATTTCCACATTGTTCCAATTAAATGTGTGTCCATAATTGTCGGTATGTATTGATATAAGCGAAGCGTTGTCGTGGCGTTTGACTGCTAACTGATGTTCACGTAAACGTAGCTGAAGAGGTCGTCCACTTTGTCCTATGTAGTGTTTTTCACAGTTTGAGCAATTTATTTTGTAGATGATATTTGGTTTTTCTTCCTGTCATTTTGTCCTTTGGTCTACTATAGGATTGATTGAAGTGATGCTGTTGGTTTGTGTGCTACACCTATTCCAAATGGTTTCAGTAGTCGTGCTGTATGCTCCGATATGTCTTTGATGTATGGCAGGATGATGCGTTTATTTGCTTCTGTGCTTGATTTCGCATCTGATGATGGTTTCGGTTGATGCTTTTTGATGAAGTTGCGTGTATAGCCGTTCTTTTGGAAGATAGTCATCAGGTGTTTTTCCTCGTTTTTTTTAATGTTTCGTATGTGCTGCAGTGTGTCTTCGCTCTCTTGAACAAAGTTTGTATGCAGTTGATCTTGTGGGTTCTTGGGTTGTTGCTGTCGTAGTTGAGAATTACGTCTGTGTGGGTTGGCTTCCGAAATACTTGAGTTTCTAGTTTTTCTGTGTTAGTTCTGGTGATTAGTACATCCAGGAATGATAGGCTGTTGTTTGATTCCTTTTCCATCGTTAATTTGATGTCATCGAAGACGTTGTTGATCCGATTGTAGATGTTCTCCAGCTCATTCCTTTTGATAATAACGAATGTGTCGTCTACATAGCGGACCCACATTTTTGGCTTGATCACTGGCAGAATCGACGCTTCCAGTCTCTGCATTACAGCTTCGGCGATGAGTCCTGATATTGGTGATCCCATTGGTGTTCCTTTTATTTGTTCGTAGACTCTGTTGTTGAATTGAAGATACGTTGTTAAGCATAGGTCGATGAGTTCAAGCAGACTTTGACTCTGAAGCTTTGTATATTTGTGTAGATTTGTGTCGTTGATGAGGAGCAGAGAAAGAGTTTCTTTAGCCAAGCTTGGCTCTATTGAGGTAAATAAGGCTGTTACGTCTTTGAGATTTGATTGTCCAGCTTTTTTGTAGGATTTTTGTCGACTGGTTTATACACGCTTCTGTCCTGAAGTAGATCCTCGGCTTTCTTGATATATTCTTCCTTGTCCATGATCACTGTCGTGCGTCCTTTGTCCGCTGGAACTATGACTATATCTTCCCTGGTTTTGAGTTTCTTTAGAGCTTTTCGTTGTTGTGCTGTTGGTTGGTTGTTGTCTCTCTTCCGTCGAGTTAGTGGCACTATGGTTTGCCTTATTTCTTGTTGAGTTTCTTCAATTATTCCTGCCGTTTTAATTGATGACTCTAATGCCGCGAAGAATTCCAGTTTTGAAGCGTCTTTCGTGTTATTGTTTAATCCTTTTTGGAGCAGTTGTTCTGTTGTCGTTAGCTGTTGCTTCTATAGGTTGTCCACACAACTGTTTGCGTTTTCTTCTGTGGGTGGCTTTGAAATCTTGATTAGTTTGTCTTTGAGGATGCTTCTTCTTTGTTCTCTGTTTCGTCTGCTTGACATTTCGATCGCCGTTGTCAACGTTGTTAAGTGTTCTGATGTAAGTATTCTTTCTAGTTTTCTTTTTTGTTCATCCATGTTGTGCTGGTATTTTTGGATCCTGTAGTGTGCATCGGTGATCATTAATTGTACCATATGTCTCCCACTTTGCTCCGCTATTCGCCATCCCATTGGGCAGTTGATTGGTGGTCTATATCTGACACTTGTTGGCAGAACATGCTGACGAAGGTCAGGTTTTGAAAAGAAATGTTTTCCGTGTAAGCTAAGTGAAAAGTCGTGAAGATGGGGAGTGGGGTATCTGTCTGGTGTCGTTTGATCATTCAAACGTCGATAATCGCCACATGGGCGCCAGTCCTGATCTTTCTTTGGAACCATGTGTAGTGGCGAAGCCCATGGGCTGTTTGATTGGTGGATGATACCCAGCTGCATCATGTGCTCAAATTCTTTTTTCGCAATTTGAAGTTTATGTGGGGGTAGTCTCCTTGGTTTGGCGCCGACGGGTGGACCCGTAGTAGTAATGTGATGTAGTACGTGATGTACAGTGCCTTCCCTCCGGTAGTCAACCTTGGTGATGTCATCGTATTTAGCTAAGAGATCGGCGAAAGGTTGACTAATGGGCCTAATTATACGTACTCCATGGATTTCGTAGATGTTGCTAGTTATGCCGTTCACGTGTAGACGTGTCTGGTTGTCGACTAGTCGTTTGGCACGCACGTCTACTAGCACATTATAAGCAGTGAGGAAATCTGCTCCAAGGATCGGCTGTTTGACTTGAGCTACTACGAAGACCCATGTGAAACGCCGTCTGAGACTAAGGTCAAGTATTAGAGACTGCTCTCCGTAAGTTTTTATGATGGTTTCGTTTGCTGCCTGAAGTGCTATCTTACGGTTAGTGATGTGTTACCGTCGCGAGAGCTTATTTCGGCTCCTGTATCGACTAAGAAGTCTGAGCCTGAAATCCTGTCCCTGATGTGAAAGAGACGGCTTTCAGCGTGGCCAGAAGCAGTCGCCGCCATCGCTGTCTAGCGGGCCAGTTTCCCTGTGTCTCTTGGCTGTTTGCAGGGAAGGTGCACGGTTTTGTGCAGCGTCTTACTTCTGGTGATACCAACAAATACCAGTTGACCTTTTTGGAGACTTGGAGCGGTGTCGGGAGCATGACCACCATTAGAAACCTGGAAGCACTGGACGGCCGTTTCGTCCTGGTATGGGACTCATCAGCAGTGCGCATCCACGACTCCTGCTCCTCGCACGATTCGAACCCGGGACCTTTGGCACTGTAGGCTAACGTCTTACCATCGGACCACTGGTCCGGCATTCAACGGTGTTATTGTCTAACTCTGATTGATCTAGGGATTTTGCGCGACCTCACCCATTCGTCTTTGGTAGTTACTGCCTAAACCCGACAGGGTTGAACTCCATTGGTCACGTCTTCTCAACTAGAACTGCGAGAATTTCCTCACGAAGCTAGTCACTAGTGAGCACTGTTACGATATTTTTGGGGCACAGTTTTGGAGGTTTGCGTTTTTACACATTTGAAGTCATCAAAAAACAAAGTTGCAAATAACGACAGGTCAAAGGCCAACAGCAACCAATCAAAATCGAGGTTAGCAGAATAAGCTACAGGTCAAACTTGGAGAAATTCGAATGCTTCACTTCTATCTGAAGTTTGTGCTGATGATGTTGTTCAGAAGATCAATGAAAGCTCCACAACCAAACCAACCAGCTCAAAGAACGAAACACCACCACAATCATCCACCTGAGCTACAAGTTTTCTCCACCATCTCAACTTCATGAATTTCTGTCGTGTTTTGGTCTGGCCGCCCCTAGCTTTCTTCCACCCTACTCCTATACCACAAAATATTGCTTGTCAAGGTAGTCGGCGGTTGGGCGTTCGTAACACATGTTCCAACCACCTTAATTGATTGGGTTTCAGTACTTCATCAATTAGTCTGCCATCCCTACCTAGTACTCGTTTTCAAACAACAACATCGCTTACTCGTTATGTAATAACTAAGTAAAACTAACCAATACTTAGCACTGAGAAAATGCTTTAAAATTGGTAAACGTGAAAAGATTATACAGTAAATACGAATTCGAATCATTCTTAGGGCAACGATGACAAGAATTTTTTCGAGGGAAAATTAGTCATGAACAAATAGAATCAAAATACACAGAAAAATTTGACAAGATTTATATGTTGTTTAAGTAACGCTAAAGTATTTACGATTTGTAGTCAGTTTTACAGCTACCAAGTATTCTCCTACTGTTGTAACAATAACCCCTAACCGTAACTCTTTACAGTAGTTCTTGAACTTAACCTTTCGTTTCATGTACTGTAATGAATAATTTAGCTTGTAAAGGTTCACTAGCTATCATTTGATCAGTCTTTAGCACAGATTGCCGTGTTACTACAGATTTCTGATTGCTTGATAAACAGTTCAATGTCTTTGTTATTGTCCATTTGTACTCTATTTTTCGATTGATAGATTGTGTTTGTATGAAATCCGGAACCAGTTGTGTGCACCATTTCTGTGCACCGGTTTGATCAAGACATTCAAACTGCAATAATGATACTTGAGTTTGTCAGTCATTATTAGATTTGTGATATGTTGTAAACATTTTGTGATAGCGCATAACTCTACACAATTAATTGACAAATAGAATTAGTGAATTGAAGTAGATTTTAGGCAGGTTAATGTTTCATAAATTTGAGCATGACTGAGAATGTAGCTAAATGTAAAACCAATATCCATTTAGTTTGGATTGAAACATGTTTTCGATTGGAATGATTCAGAAATTTGATGTTTCTCCAATCCAATTCACATTCATGGTTGTCTGCGCCGGTCGATATAAATGAGAACAAGTTGTTGTTTTGATGCTGAATGTATTTTGGTGTGTGCAGAAAAAGAACAAAAAGAATGTCTAGATGTGTTGTTCAGATTATTATTTATTGCATTCAATGTAATTTATTTTGTAAATTACATGTATATTTTCTTCATTGTTGCATCTTTAAGTATCCATAGAACCGGATGCATTGATTGAGTGGATTTCTGAATGATTTTAATTCCAAAAGATCTTAACATAACTTGTAATGGTTCCTGTAATGTTATTATTATTATTATTATTATTTTGAAATAGGCTGATAATCCGGACTCAGCAACTTCAGGAATTATTTTCATACAGGAATTGATCGCTTTAACAAATCAGAAACAAAGTTTAGTTGGTAAGTTATTAATTTTAGTCAAATTCTCATTGATTATACTTTTTAAAGGTGTAAATAATTATCAAGTTCATTGGATGATAGTATTGATGATGCCCTAGTAAAATTATTATAGTTTCTTTTTTTTCTTTCTAGTTTATGCTCAGTATGTTCAGTACTTCATTGTACAATTTGTTTATAAATCTAGGCATGACATTAACAGTGTTGAGTTTAAAGTGGGTCTATGAAATGATCTGTGCAATACTTTGTAATGTCATAATATTTGTCCTTTAGTTCTCACTCTCCCACTCTCTCTCACTCTCTCCATATTTATATCAGGAGAAAACTTGTTGTGTTGAAAAAACAGACTTAATTGTCAGTCAGTAAACAATTTGAACATTTTACACTTTGTTCAGTTAACCAATCACTTGTTAAGAAAATTGTTTCAACTCTTTAAACTCTTTGTGTGATCATCATTCATTGATATTGATTAATGATATTTGTCTCATATATGTTACTTAAGTCGACATTATTGATCATGGATGATCGCTTAGAACTTCCGAACTTCAGTGAACATTATAAGGAACTATGTTTTGAATTGACTGAGTGCAGTCGATTAATTTTTAATTACAATCTAAAACCTTGTAATATTTGATGTGTGTGTTTTATGGTTCAGATTATATTACAAGGCTAAGAATTTTATTAAAAAAAAAACTGAAGAGTTAATTTCATGACGATAGTTAGGAGGAAGTGGATTGTTAATTTTTTCCTATAAACTAGTAAGGGTCATTGTTATATTAATTTTAAGAATCTTTTTGGTTTATCCTTTATAAAAAAAAATTAGTTGACATCTTTCCAACTTCAACTGTAACCGGTTGTTGGTTCGTTCTGTACATCCTTAGATTTCTGTTGATGTTCATTTTCTCTCAATGTATATAAGCTCAATCACAGTTTGTCATGTTGAGTTTTGTATCTTTTTTCTTATAAGGATGAACGTTTAAGTGATCCATTGCCCGATGCTTATGATTTTTCTATACTTTTAGTTTTTTACATTTGAATTGGCTGAAGTCAATAATTTGAAATGAGTAAATTAATCGGTATTTTTCTTATTATATGTAAATTATCTTAATTTGTTCAAGGTATATGATTGATATTGTATGCTGTAAACAATGACAGACATCTCATTAGTGACCATTTTGTTTATTAACTTTCAAAATACAATATCAATTGTGAATGTGTTGTTTCATCATTCATTCATAATTACATAGTTCCAATGTGTGATTCATCATTTTAGATTTTCCTGTACAAAATCGTTATGTTGTTGTAATCGATCCACCAAGTTATGGTTTCATTAGATTTTCTGCTTGCCCTGCACATTTTGGTTTATTCCCTGGAGAAGAAGAATTAGTACAACGAAAAAAGCGACAACAACAACAACAACAGCAGAAAGAAGCTGAAAACAAGGAATCGAAAAAATCTGAAAGTCAAACAGATCATCACCAACACTCATCATCATCATCTGTGAATGCAAGTGAACATCGTTGGAAACCTTTAATAGGCTCTGTACGTGTTGTTTATCCGCTGGATGCATGTCAACCTATTAAGGAAAAAGCTTATGCCTATCCATCGGTTGATCTTCAATGGAATCAAGATCCTACAGAGTCGTTAAATTCATCATTATTTGATAATTCCGAAATTATGCGAAAAAGTGAAGGCTCTATCTCAGGCGCTATCGGTGTTGTTCGTCGAGGTGGTTGTGTGTTCGTTGAAAAAGCTTATCATTTAGCCCAAGTAAGTGACAAATGTATATTTGATCATTTTACATTACCGTTTGCAATACCTACACAATCAGTGTTTGAAGAACTCAAAATTCTGCTCATATGTTTTCACTGGAAATCTCCACTCTACCTGTTTCCTTACTTTATTCGGTCAGTAACAACGTAGAGATTGGTACATCAGTTCAAGTTGCCATACTACATTAACAAACAGAGATTGAATTGTCGATTAAAATCCCATAATAGTAAAGGTAGTAGAACTATTAGCAATAATGGAGAAGATTGAGGTTTGAAGATATGATTCAAGTGGTATAACCCAGTGAAATAAGTTTAGAAAGAGAAAACTGGCCGTCAGGAATTCAGAAGATTAGAAATCTAGTGAAGACAGAGAATTTATGCATTTGTGTGATTGCAAGCGATTTTGAGACATGCCATTCAAAGTTTGTAACCATCGGTTACGATCACCTCGCGGACCCCAACCAACTCTACTTGTTTAGATTAACATCAATAGCCAGTACTGATTTTCATCAATACTTCAGTATTGGTCATCCAGATATATAAGAAATTATTAGTCTTGTAATCATCCCAATGAAGTTTCTTTAACCTATTGCTTAATGTAATAACTCAGAAACAACGATTTCTAAGGAAATTATGAAGGATTTATCAGTATGCTCGCATATTTCATACTAAATACGTGATATTCAGTAAGTTTTGGAGTACATGAATATTTACTAACCCTTGATTGAATGGACTTTCTTGGCCTGAAAGCTGTATTTGATTTTGTTAACCTGTCATCGATCCCTCCAGTTGCTTGCAAATATGCACCTGAATAGTTGTCTTCTTTTTTGTAGTTTATCATAAATCTTAACCTTTACATGATTCCATTGTTCGTACAAATCAGTTGGGTTTTGTTTTTTCCCATTCTGATTTTTATGCATTCAGTGTAATTTGTAATTTTCTTTTCCTACCTCTTACTAATTTTCCTTGTTCGTATTGTTAGGCTGGGTTTAACACGTTTGATTATTACTTAATTATCTCAGTGCATATTTTAACAATTTGATTAAAAATGCACAATTGAATTATAGAGCATGCAAACAGATTCACTTTTCATAGGATAATCAGTCAGTTTTCATTTATCTACACATAGTTAGTAACAATACATACAAATGAATTAGTACACGTCTCAGCAAATTACATATACTACACTGCATTGAATATTCAAATTGAATAGTATAAGTCATATTTATTTTCAAGCACAACATTTATATCTGGTCAAAAATACACCTTATTATTCAATGGACATAATATTATTATGCTTTAAGTTTCATTCGATTCAATATGTCTTATTTTTTGCAATCGATTTAGTCATAATTTCATTCTGTATGAATGCGGGTATATTATATTTACTGGTTTATTACACGTCTAGCAACAAAATACAGTAGAGTTTTGAAATTTTTCCATACTAGTTAAAACTACTGAAGTGTCAATAAATCGGTATACCACATTTCTGGGTTATACACTAACAGCAAGTATAGAATGGACATTGAACATTCGTCATGACCCATTATTTTACCTTATAGAAAATATCTTACTACGTTACACATTCAGAAGCATTCATAAACAATTAGGCTCCCCTGATAACAACTCATGCCGTCACAACAATTCCACCGGTTAACTCAAATGCCTCTGTCTCTTCCCCGATGGTCTTGGATCTATCGATAGGTAAAGGCGGTAATTCTGAAAAATCATCTCTCTATATATAGATATTTCTATCCATAAGGAACATTCTGTAGTAATTTGTGATGAGATGATATTATCTTTGTTAAAGATATTCCGTTGAATGAAGTTCACCACACAGTCAACCAATCAATGTTTCCCAACAAGCACTCGGTTATCTTCTTCAGCGTATTCTCAATTGACCATAGCTTCATCAGTCACCTCTTGTGTTTGCTTGTTCCATTTCAAATCACTTTCCTTAAACACATCTGCGATTCCTCACTTAAAATCCATTGATTACGATCGTTTTCCGAAGTTTTTAGACTAGATGGATTTGGCGAGAAATACTTTTTGTTATGTGCAGCCAGTTAAAATACCATCTGCGACCTGTGTCAGGATAAGCAAAGTACGTCTAGCTGTCGGTATATAAATAGTTTCAGACCAGTCGTGGCGTAAATCAACGTGCTTGAGTCTTGATGTGATATGTGTTCTGATCTGGGGACGATTTCAGAAAGCTAGTTTGACTATAGTGAACACATCCATCAAATGGTAAATTGACTGTCCTGTAATGAAGTCAGTCACCAGGTATGTTTGATTGAAAAGGTGCACAACAAGACGAATGATTGTCGGAATAAATAAATAAAATTATCTTACAATCGAGGCACTATAGGATAAGATTAGGCCAAGATTTTTTTATGCCAAAATCAATTCTATACTTGCTCTCAGTATATAACCAAAAGAGTGATTTATTGATTCATTGATATTTCATTGTTAACTAGTAATGAGTAATTTCAAATTCTACTACCCTGTACCTTGACCTGCTGTAATTATGCCACCTGATCGATGATTGAATTAATCAGCGTGTTGTCAAACACTCAACTTCTTATGGGTTAGCATAGATTTTGAGATGCATTAATTCGAAAGAAAATTTTTGTCATTAATGTAACAAGAAGATAAGATAATTATTGATTAGATTACATGTATGTATGTATGTATGTGTTGCATTGTTAATTCCACAGGTGTTCTATTCTGTTTTAATTCTAATTGATGTTGATCAAATTATGAAATTAACATTACTCTCATATCATTACACAGATTGACATTGATCAATCAATCAATCAATAGCAACGTAGAACTTCGTACATACGTACGTACGTACATCAGTTCATGTTGCCATAACACATTAGCACATAGATGCAATTGTGAATTCAAATCCAATAGTAGTAGATGTAGTAAAGGTATTCGCAGTAGTCAGAGAGGTTAGGATTAGAAGAAGTGATAAAGTGATGAAGAATTAGAAAGTTTGGGATTTGAGAGAACACAAAGACTGAATGCACCTTGCGCCATTGCAAACGATTTTGAGCCATATCATTCAGGGTCTCTAACGATCGATTACTAACATCTCGTGGACCCTAACCAGGTAGGATTGACATTGATTACTAGTGTTGTCTATGTTAAAAATTTCACATTTGTTTTTTTTCAATCATTCTGTCATATGTGAGTAGTAGTATTGTACAACTTGATAGCTGCAGCATTTGGTCGCAATGAACCAACGAAACACTCGATCATATTTTTACAATCTGTATAGTATACTTCCTACATGATCATTACTTTCAGTTCTATCCGTACGTAGATCTCAGTCTAGTTGACACTCATCAATAGGATGTGCTTTCATTATTGAAGTAATTGATATCCTTCTTTTGGATCAATTTGAAACTTTGATTTGGTGTATATGAGATTTGCACAAATCAATGTTGTTCACTTTCTGTGTACAATTATCCTAAATTGTAAATTTTTTGTTTGTTTTTTGATTGTTATTGTAGGCTGGTGCAATCGGTGTAATCATAGTCGATAATAAACCGGATACATCAAGTGAATTCAGTCCATTATTTGCTATGTCTGGTGATAATGATGAATTCAGTGATAAAATTCACATACCAGTTGTTTTATTAATGGGTATGGAACGTGATAAACTTTTTAATTTAATGCGAACACATTGGAATCTTACTAATCAACCTATGCATGTTATGCTAACTAAAGAATATGATGCTGCAGGTTAGTTGGTGTTTTTTTTAATATAAATAAAATTCTAACTTTGTTTTTTTTTCGGTTGATTTAAAACAACAACAAGATATATATATGCATATATATAAAAGAATTTTTTTGTTTATCAAGCTTCTCACTAGAAATAACATAGCTAATTGAGTTCGAGAGCATGATGTCTAGTTATCAAATACAATCCCCTTTTTTTATATTCTATTCACATTTTGATTGACAATGATCATATGGAATCATATAGAATAATTCTTTCCTTTATCATTTTAATCTAAGAGCTGCACTATTGTTTGTTAATTTTTATTTCTTCAATCAATCCGTTCAATTTGTTAGTTGTTATCCTTTCATGTTTATCTATCTTTCCATGTAATAAAGACATTAAGATTAGTTCGACATTTATGCAATTCATCTTGTTAAACAATTTGAGCTAAATGCACATTTGTGCTAGACTCTATGTTAACTGTGACTGATTTTCTTTGTTGTAAATTTTGTTTTATTCTATTACTATTCCATTCTATTTATAATTTCATTTTGTATGAATTCGAAATGATGAATTGTTATCACTAATAAATATAACATTATATATATATATATATATATATATATATATATATATATATATATATATATCAACCGATCAGTCATTGTGATATCCCATGTAGACATCCACATGATACTTATTATGTTAGTTTGTTTCCGGAACTATTTTTCATCTTTTCCTATTTTCAGTTCGACATTTTATTTTCATAATGAACGCATTTATGGAGATTGCATTATTTTCCTAGTTGGAATCACGAACTGGCCTAACCTAGACAATCACTAGAAACCTGGAAACACTAGACAGTCACTTAATCCTATTTACGTACGAGACTGCTTAGCAGTGAGCATTCATGACTTTTGCACTGGAATGCTTAACCTCTAAGTCATTAATTTGGCATCCAATCAATCCATGATGTTGCGCAACCTTTATCGATTGTCTGCGGTGGATAAATGCCTCCTACTGGACGCGCATTGAACTTCACTAGTCATGTCTCTTCACTAGAACTCCAGGAATACGTCATATAGCTAGTGACTAACGAGCTCATGATTGTTATTGATGAAAAGGATTTGTGCAGATTGTGTTATTTTCATAGCTGAAATCATGAACCGAAGGTCCCGGGTTTGATTTCCGTGTGTGGCAGCTGTAAATACTCACTGCTGAGGAGTTGCATACTAACTAGGACGAAACGGCCTTCCAGTGCTTCCAGATTGTCTAGCTTATATCAGTTTGTGATTTCGACTAAAAAAATAAGACCATGCAATCTACACAAACTGTCCATATTAATGCATTCCGTGTTTGCCATAATTATTTACTATTTTTCATTATAACTAGTGATCAAATCATTTTCAACAAATTTGTCTTGGTTATCATTCGGAATTTTTTATTGTTTTTTATTCAATCTATGAGACTGATGGTAATTAAATACAAAATTCCACTGACATTCACTTAGCTGTAGTAGTAGTAGTAGTAGTGTGGTGCGAGGTACTTATAAGTAGTATATGACGTGAGTGTCAACGTAATGTCTGGCAGCATAATATGGGGCAAGATCAAGAAAGGAAGAAGAGTTAGAACACAATGGAATTTGTATGAAACGCATGAATAGTGACAATGGATTGATGTTTTGCAACAAGAACAGTCCAGTTCGATATGATGAACTGATATTTTGCAAATGAACAATTTACGATATGGTTTTCCTATTTTACTGAGTAACTCTGTAATTTTCGTTAAATACAATTCGGTTGCCCTCACCTGTGTTCTCCTTCACTACAGTAGTAGTAGTAATAGTATTTAGTCATTCACCGCTACGAATTTAATCTTTGCAACTTGATGATAGGAGGGATATCATTAGAACTATTGATTCATTGGTCTAATTTATGGCAAAATTATCCGATCAGATTATCTAAAAGGTACACATGTACTGAAATATTAATTGAACTGTGTTCCATTAAAGTGTAATCGAATTTCATTTTTTTTTAAAAAAAAACTTTGATAACATGTGTATATTGAGTGAAAGTGAAACATTCACATACTCATCCATTGTTGATAGTCTACTTCATTTATACCCGAATTCATGAATTATTTGAATGAAAATTATAGGTCGGTGAATGATATTTAACCTTTAACTATAAATAATTGAGTTCATGTTTGGTAATTATTTATTTTGATTTATTCAACCAGTTTCTCTCTCTCTCTCTTTATACATATTACTTACTTACTTACTTACGCCTGTTACCCCCAATGGAGCATAGGCCGCCCACCAGTTTTCTCCAACCAACTCTGTCCTGGGCTTCTCTCTCCAGTTCTGTCCAATGTTTGTTCATTCCTCTCATATCTTTCTCTATTTCTCGGCGCAGTGTGTTCTTTGGCCTTCCTCTTTTCCTTTTGCCTTGAGGGTTCCATGTGAGGGCTTGTCTCGTGATACAGTTAGGTGCTTTCCGCAATGTGTGTCCTATCCACTTCCACCGCTTCTTCCTGATTTCCTCATCCACTGCAATCTGGTTTGTTCTCTCCCACAGTTCGTTGTTGCTGATGGTGTCTGGCCAACGAATACGAAGTATTTTGCGTAGACAACTGTTAATAAACACTTGTATCTTCTGAATGATGGCTTTGGTAGTTCTCCATGTTTCCGCTCCATACAGTAGAACAGTCTTCACATTTGTATTCAAAATCCTGATGTTAGTTTTGGTTGAAAGTTGTTTGGATTTCCAGATATTTTTCAACTGTAGAAATGCAGCCCTCGCTTTGCCAATCCGCGCCCTCACATCTGCATCAGATCCACCTTGGTTGTCAATGATGCTGCCCAGATATATAAAGGTGTTAACGTCTTCCAAGGCATCCCCATCAAGAGTGATTTGATTGGTGCATGTTGTGTTGCATCGGAGAATTTTGCTTTTTCCTTTATGTATGTTGAGACCCACTGCTGCAGAGGCTGCTGCTACACTGGTCGTCTTCTCTTGCATTTGTTGTTGAGTGTGCGATAGAAGAGCCAAGTCATCTGCGAAGTCCAGATCGTCCAGCTGCGTCCTAACTGTCAAGTTGATACCGTGCTTCCCTCCAGACGTCGACGTTTTCATAATCCAGTCGATGACCAGGAGAAAGAGAAAGGGTGAGAGTAAGCAACCTTGCCTCACACGGGTCTTCACCTCAAAAGAGTCGGTTAGCTGTCCTTCGTGTACGATTTTGCAGTTGAACCCATCATAAGAATTTCGTATGATGTTAACTATCTTCTCAGGCACACCGTAGTGTCGAAGAAGCCTCCACAGTGTTTTCCTATCCACGCTATCGAATGCCTTCTCGTAGTCGATGAAGTTGATGTAGAGTGGTGAGTTCCATTCAATTGATTGTTCCACAATGATCCGTAATGTAGCAATTTGGTCAGTACACGATCGATCCTTACGAAATCCAGCCTGTTGATCTCGAAGTTGTGTGTCTACGAAGTCCTTCATTCTGTTTAACAATACCCTGTTGAAGACTTTGCCTGGTATTGAAAGAAGAGTGATGCCTCTGTAGTTCTCACACTTGCTGAGATCGCCTTTCTTTGGTATTTTGATGAGGTATCCTTCTTTCCAATCTGATGGTACTTGTTCCTCATCCCAAATCTTCTTGAAGAGGATGTGAAATATTTTTGCAGTTGCTTCTACATCTGCTTTCATTGCCTCTGCTGGAATGTTGTCTGGTCCTGCTGCTTTGCCATTCTTGATTTGTCTGATGGCCATACTGATCTCCTCGATTGTAGGTGCGCCAATGTTAGTTGGGAGGTCCTTGGATGCTGCTTCGATGTTGGGTGTGTTCAGTGGAGCTGGTCGATTCAATAGTTCCTTAAAGTGCTCTACCCACCTATTTCGCTCTTGTTCAGTGTTGCTGATTACTTTGCCTTCCTTACTTTTCACTGGTCGTTCTGGTTTACGATAGTTCCCGGCGAGCTTCTTTGTTGTTTCATACAATTGTCTCAAGTTTCCGTCTCTTGCAGCCTTTTCCGCCGTCATTGCTAGATCTTCCACATATTTTCGTTCGTCAGCTTTGATGCTCTTCTTCACTTGCCTGTTTGCCTCTGTGTATGCAGCTTATCCGGTAACTTTCTCTCCTCTTGTTCGGCTGACATTGATTACTGCCTTCTTGTTCCTCCTTTCTTTAATTTTTGCGAGAGTATCAACAGAGATCCATTCCTTGTGATGGTACTTCTTGTGACCCAGAACTTCGTGACATGTTGAAGTGATTGCCTCCTTAATCCCTTTCCAATTGTTCTCCAACGTTGTGTCCTCTCCATTGTGTAGATCCTGAAAGGCCTGGAACCTATTGGTGAGGGCTATCCTGAATTCATTGAGCTTTACAGTATCCCGAAGAAATGCCGTATTAAACTTGTGCGATGTTGTCTGCCCCGTTGTCCAGTGCTTCTTGAGTCTCAGTTTCATTTTGGCGATTAGGAAATGGTGATCTGAGGCTATATCAGCTCCTCTCCTGGTTCTCACATCCTCCATAGTCCTTCTGAACGTTTTGTTGATACAGATATGGTCAATCTGGTTTTGGGTAGTGTGATCCGGTGAAATCCATGTAGCTTTGTGTATGCGCTTGTGTGGGAATATTGTGCCACCGATGACCAGTTTGTTGAAGGCACATAGGTTTGAAAATCTCTCACGGTTTTCGTTCCCTTCTCCCAGTCCATGTCGTCCCATGATGTCTTCATATCCAGTGTTGTGCATTCCAACCTTGGCATTCAGGTCTCCCATCAGAATCGTCAAATCCTTTGGTGAACATTTATCGACGATTGACTGCAGCCTTTCGTAGAATTGATCTTTAACGTCGTCATTGTAGTCATTGGTAGGTGCATAACATTGGATGACGTTCATTGTAATGTCCTGTTTCTTTGTTTTGAAGGATGCTTTAATGATCCTGGGTCCACGAGATTCCCATCCTATCAGTGCCTTTTGTGCATGTTTGGACAGCATCAGTGCAACTCCTCGTGTATGTGAAGCATTTTCTTCTTCATGACCAGAGTATAACAGCAGTTCCCCTGAAGCTAGTCTCAGTTGTACTACCTGTGTCCAATGTGTTTCACTGATTCCAAGCACTCCGAGGTTGTATCGTTTCATTTCTGCCGCAACTTGAAATAGTCTTCCAGTCTCCCACAATGTACGAACGTTCCATGTACCTAAAAAGATGGTTGCTCTGGTTGTCAGAAGAGGCATCAGCCCCGTGACTTCCGAGGGAACTCGGCTTTCATCACGAGACGTCATAATTCTTCTTTCAACTCCCAGGGCAGAGTTAAAATGGTTTGAATTATTTTTTCTGGTTAGCGTTTTTTTGGCAAGTTAGAATTCGACGGAATGGGGTAGCCAACCCCATGTCCAACCCTCCTCCTTTACCCGTGCTTGGGACCGGCAGTAGCCCCGAAGGTTCTACTGGCGGAGTTCTCTATACATATAGTTGTTGATATAATTGACAATAGTAATTATGTAAAATGGGAATAAATGAATTTTCGCCAGATATTTGTGATTATCTGATGTGAACAATATCATTGTGTGTGTGTGTGCGTGTGTGTATGTGTATTGTGAAGATTATTTTATTCTAAATATTATATCTGTGCGTTTACAATTCAATATCTGATGGCACTGTCTTGTATACACAACTTCTTCATACTGTATAAAGTCAGCTGTCAGCTGTGTCAATGTGATTACACACTAATTAATTCATTTGTGATCATTTTTTTTGCTTTTTATGGGCTAAATCCATTTCATTTTATCTTTCATAGAATCTTTCAGCTCAGCATTATGGTTAAGTAATAAAGTAAATCATGTAAGTTGGTGTAAAATTATCTAACTATATATGATAACACATTGGCATGCTTATTCTCAATCAATGTGCTTTTGTTGATTACATTCTATTGGTATTGTTGTTATCCTGGTGTGTGTGTGTGTGTGCGTGTGTGCGTGTGTGTGTGTGTGTGTGTATCTAAAAGTTTAATCATGCTTGATTGCAATATATTCTTAGTGTTATTTATATCCTAGGCCAGATATTGTATAGAGGAGGCGTACTTCATCAGTCTGTTGCATATTATTAGTCTTTTACTGCCATATCATTTAATTAGAGAAAGGATCAGACGAATAAACCTCATATTCATTTGACAAATCATGGAATTGCTTGCTTGAACATCATTCCGTTCACCATGAGTTTGTGATGTGCATAAGTGTGTGTGTGTGTGCATGTGTGTGCTTGTATAGCACAATTATCATAAATTATTATCAATCAATAAATGACTGATATTTCAATTGTTTAAATTCATAATTCACAGCTATCTTTTTGAATGAAATATAAACAAATCTTTTTCTTAGAATTTGTTTACATGTTAGGTGTATAATTTATTATTTGGTTTTTTAAAACGCATTTAAATATTGGAGATTTTCATCAACCACTGATACTGATTGTGAATGTGTGTTCTAGCAAAAATGTTTTATAATTTGTTTGATTTCTCTTAAAATGCACCAAAAAAAATAAATATCCCAATTGACATTTGTCGATAAATTAACAGACGTTTAGCTGTTTATTGAAAGAAGTTGCGATTAATTGAAGAAAAAAAAGAAATTTACCACCCAACGCTCAAATAATTAGTTGTCTGCAGTTTAAATAGCAAACGTAAAGTTTCGAAAAATGAATTCATAACAACAATAATCTTTCATTAATTTTCTTCCATGTAGCATCATAAGCAAAATTGTAGAATTATGACACGCTAAAGTATATGTGAAAAGAAGAATCGATAGTTGACCAAAATGATTGTAAATTTACTTCAAATGGAAACAGTACGTTATTCTTTCAGTTGATTAACTCGTTACAATTTGAAAACTAGTTCCATGCGCTTTCCAGTTTTACACGTGATCTTGTTCATTGATTTTCATTCAGACTCTACGTTACCTACCACTCGTATACTAGACTAGCACATACCTTTTTCTCACAAGACAGCACCATCACTATAATTCACAACTTCATTCTCCCTTGTAACTGGTCATGTAAATATTCATATAGATTGTTATATACCTATCCCGGTATAACCTCGGTTACTTAAACCAATCTCATTTTATCACACTTTATCAAAGAAAAAAATATATCAGGACAGCCTTGTTCTACCACAATCAGTCTATGATATAAGCATACAATAGGATTTTTGGAAGTTCATTCATAATTTAGGAGGATTTCATATTCAAAATTAGTTTTTTTCTCTTTTCCTATACTATTTTAAGTCATTTTGTTTTTTTTCACAGGAGAAGAAATACTCTGAATCAAATGAATTATCCAATTTTGAGTTAGTTAGTGATCTATACCAACAGTCCATTTATTCAATAAACAATTTATCATGTTTCATTAAAATTTCCGACTTAATTTTGGTTACTATTTTGTCTGATCCTAAAATGAATTTCAAGCATTTTTCTACTAGTCAATTAAATCAAGAGAATACAACTACAGTTTTATGGTTATTTACATTTTTCATGAATCATAACGAATCGTCTAGTTATTTTATACCTTCTAATCATAGTAATACAACTAATAGTACCAGTCAAATAATCAAAGGATCAGTAAAAGAAATTTCAATATGGCGAGATTTGTTTATGATTACATTAAAACAAATTGGAATTAAGTAAGTTGAATTGTTTTTTTTTGTTTAGTAATGATTTTCTTGGTTTTTGTGAAATTTTTTTTTGGTTGTTATTCGTTGTCATTGAATGGTCATTCATTTTTCCTAACAGTAACAAAATTCCCTATGCAAACATTGTGACTGAGTTGATGCAAACAAACAATTGTGTATCAATCAAGATGATTTCTCATCATCACCAATAAGAGATAAATAATCATTCTACCTTAAAGTATACTTACAATGAACAATTCAGTGGTTTTTTGTCAATAAATGACAATAAACACTTGAGAGCGTAAAGTATACAAAACCGTTAAAATCACACACTTTATTAACTTTTTTGATAAAATGATTTTCATTCCATATATATATATATATATATATATATATATATATATATATATATATATATATATATATATATATATATATATCAAGTAGATTTACTGATAACGAGTTATCAATGACTTTTTATGCATTCTTGATGATCATTTTAAATCAATCGGTGTTTTTTGCGGTGTATAGCAATTCTGAAGTTATGAAAAAAAAATCTAAGCAAACACATCATCTATTCAGTGAGTGATAAAGTGCTTAAAGGTTTTCCAAGTCATGTGCAAGTCACGTGCATTCCAAATAAAGTACAAGATGTTCTCAAGTATTCACTGATCTTATTGCTCTTTTCATTTTGTTTTCTTTTTTTTTCCCCTATATAGAAATGACTGTTATCATTTGATTGTAGCCTATATTCAAATTGCTTTGCATAAATTATCTCCAATTGATTCATTTAATTATACTAATAAAACAGTCAATGTTTCATTGGAACATTTTCAATTGGTAAATGATTGTTTAATGCAAACAATTTACCTGTGCAATACAACAACACAACAGTTTAACTATAATAATAATAATAATAATGACAATAATCAAATTACAGAAATTTCAATCACATTACAATTGGGCTTTCAGTTAATACCAACAACAACAACAGCAGCAACGCATCACCACTTATCTTCAGTTGTTTCTCCTATCACATTGAACTCTTCTTCTCATATTCATCTATCTGTTCTCAATAAAACAGACAATTCTTTTAAAGAAAATTCACTTTCAGCCTATGCTGATGAATTGTAAGATAATGTCAATTTTGCTTTCTTTTCTCTTTATTTTGTAGTTTTACACATTTTATTTTTGTGTGCTTTTCATTCCTGTTTTTGGTCGATTTTTTTTTAAACCTTTTTTTAAACAAAATCTGACTACTACAACAACAACTACCACTACTACTGGATACTGTTACTGAAAAGTGAAATAATATATTTTTTTTTCTTTCTGCAGATTAAACTTTTGTGTATGTATGTTTATTCATTGTGCTGTTACATGTTTGTACTTGTTTTAATTTGTCCTTATTTTTTGAAAATGATTGTAATGTTTAGTTTTTCAATTTTTATCATCAACAATCTTTTTTTCTTTCTTTCTTCTTCTTCTATCTTTTTTTTGATTTTGTCTATTGTTGTTCATTTACATGAATAATAATAATAACGCTGATGATGATGATGATGATGATGATGAAAGTGAGATAAACAGTACATTAAATAAAATCAATTATGTGCATTGTTTATTTCAATTAAAACATATTCATAATAATCCGATTATTAATTACTTTTTGATAACCAATCAACAATTTCCGGCATAAATTAATCAAATAATGCAGTAAAATTCCCATTTAGAATCATTTCACTTGTAAATTATATTATCAAAAAAAAAAAAAACTATTAAACAAACTGATTAGCTGATATTTATAGAGATAATTTACAACCTTGACTTTTAGCCAATTATCATCAGTGTAAATAACAGTCTGTGATTGTGCATACTATAAACGAATACTTTGCATCAATCAGATTATAATAAACGAGACACCTTGTTATATATATCCTACAAACACTATTACTTTTGCTTACAATCATATCATGTAAATAAACTAATAAAATTTATTCTCAAATAGCTATGTGTTACATGATATATGACAGTTTACCGGGAAGATTGAAATGTTCAATGTGCTAATACATTTACTGTGTAAGGTTGTTCAGTTAGATGGATATTTTACATGATAATCTGGCTTTCTACACAGGGCTAATATTGTAAATAGGTTTTCAGACTGTGGAATGTACAATTCATTATTTTTTGCGAGTTATGTTGGCAGTGTTGCAACGACCGACTACTTGTCGAGAATCAGTGCAAGCCATATACAGGGCTGTATATAACAAGAATTGTTCATAATAGACTGGAGTCTTTTGCTTTCCTTTGTTGTTGCTGATGATCAGTACAAGAAGTTGTTGACGAGAATCTCATTCTTTCCTAGCTGATTCTCTTTCATAGTGTCATCTACATAGCAAATCCAAATCTTTGATCATTGTTAAGACCACGCATAGTTATCAATCTGAATATTAGAAATCCTACTGTGACTCCTTTCGTCCATTCGCATATCTTACCGTCGAGCTGGGAATGTGTTCATGAAAAAGTCAAATTTAAGCGAGATTTGATTGCTAAGTGTACTGCACTTTGAAAAGTTCATATCGCTGATAAACATCAAAGATAGTGTCATTTGCTGGACTTAATTTAGTAAAGTTACGATATTCTATGATCTTAGGGAGTCCCGAAATATTCCTGAGAAGTATATTGAGGCCCATAAACGCCAGGAAACGTTTCATCCAGTGAGCATTGGATAAAACCATCACAGAAGCATCTAAAAAATACGGAATCACACACGATTTCGATTGAACAATTAACCATAATGCTACTATATTTAGTGTGGCTCCCAGTAGCCTAAAATCATGACTCTATAAATGCCTTCGTCTTTCAACACATAAGGTATCATAGGAGTAAAGCACGCTTCTCCTACTGCGCACCTTTTCTCTTATGTTCTGAGGTTATTAGAAGCGGATAAGAAATCAGATCTTGCGTCCACTTGACAGATTTATTAAAAATACCACAAATTCGTCACTGATGACTTTAAGAAATTTAATCTCATCAAAAATTGATTTGTATACTTGGTATGTGATCAACTGGTTTTGAAAGATCTTTTACCCTTCACCATATTTCTCTTGGTAAATTTTATATGGGTGTTTTTGTAACCGTGACCGATAGCTGATGATTATGGTTGTATAGTCGGTCACGGGACTAATCAAAGATAAATAAAGAAATTCATTGTAATCAGGATAGAAGCGTTTAGAAACAAAGTGTACTACATGAAATGAAGGCTAAGAATAACGTTCAAATTTAGCAGATCACTGATTGTGTGGAGATGGCATGACAAACTTATTTTGTAAATAGTTTTTGACGCTATTTGTATAGCAACAACCTATATGTACCGTTGGTATTTTTTATTGTGTGGTTTGTATGAGTTTGTACGACTGAGCGTTGCATAGGCCTACGCGTTGACTCATCCTTCTCGCTTTAACGTTAATCTCTTAATACCCCTATGAACTCACATGACTTGTCTCGCTGACCTTTGACCTTGTCAGTCATTCGTCGTTTTTGTTCATGTCTGTGCATGCCTATTTCGTTTGTCATATGTCTGTCTTATTTTAGTCTGACTTTATATATTCTTAGTCATACTCTATCTCTTTGAGTTGGCTCTTAGCCTTCTCCCATGCGATTCGCCCATTCGTTCGCATTGTAATCCTAGGAGTTGGCTCAAAAGCCTTCTCCAGATCACGTCGCTTCATTTGTTTTATTCACTGCTTCTCCACTTCGCTTTGTGGTGTGTCCCGAATAAACGTATTCATCACTAAGAGTTCATGTTCTGATTTATAAACCGAGCTTAAAAACACGCAGTAAATCGACACACTACAATTGTAAAGTGTTTTACTTTCAGTATCCATTGGTTTTTTCAAGTGCTAAAATGAACGAACTGGTTTTGATGCACTCGCTTCTTGTTGTTTCGGTACTACTTCAGATATCTGGTAGTAGCCAATGGGTGGTAGTCTAGCTACTCTACTGGAATTATTCTAGTTGCTGACGTATTTGAATATCTTTTGACCAAAGGGAGTGCGTTTGTCTATGTAAAGTTACCGTTAGCTAAGATTAATAAATTCTGCATTGTCACCGTGTGAAGGTCCAGATGATTTAATTTGAATATTAGTACATTTAAAGAATCAGTGACAGGTACACCGAAAATAGAAATACTTACCATGAATTTTTCACAATCCACAAAATGTGCTGCTCAATTATACAAAGAAGCGAAAACAACTTTTTCTGCAATTCGGGTATGTCGATCATAGTGCTAAAAAGCTATGAGTATATGAATGCGGCAGTACAACTGTAAAATAGTCTCTGAGAAGTGAAACTGTGAGCACACAGAAATAATTGCTCTCATGTAAACTCGTAAAGTGCACAAACTCTTCTTAAATGCATGCCTATAAGTGTGTATATTTCTTGTCTTTCCTAATTAGATGGCAGTTATGAGGCATTTATCAAAAGAAGAGTTTGTGTCGGAAGTAAGAAGTAATGTCTAAATTCTAAAAAGCCCCACCAGCTCTCTTTTCCAGTCCTAAGTGATCTCATTGACCTCTCACCATTAACAGGAAACAATCCAATTTCCGACGCCAGATTTAGGATATAACCTCTGTCACCATTTATTGATAGACAGTTTGAGTAACATGTTGAACAAACGAAATCAATCCAAGTCAGAACTAATATTCGGTATGTCTAACTGTCTCGATAAACTGCTCTGTTCATAATTGCTTTAGTGGCAGCACATACACACTCGTTCACTTGCAAACACAGGATATGAGGAAAAGTTACTGGATCCCCACGAAGTTGCTTGCTAAAACGATCAAAGATAACGTTGCAATTTCGAATCACTTTCAGGTTATATTCTCACACAGTAAATATTCAATAACTGTGTAACTCAAGATTAACCCCCTTTTAATTGTGAATGTAGACAAGGCTAAAGGCTTTTAAAAAATCCTTTCACTACCTCAAACTTCCTCGGTTAATCTATCCTCCACGATTCGAGTCACGCAAGACAAACCGTGGTCAGTACGGGCCGCTGTCAGGACATCAAAAGGTACTTAAGTGCAGATCTGTATTGTAGTCCACGGAGTGCTCGAGCTGCATAGTGGCAGCTCGGAAGAAGCGCACGCCTTTGATGTTCAACAATGGCGATGGAAAGACCTGACTGAGGTGCTTCAGGCATGGTATAGCACAAAGTCAAATTGTATGTTGCTAGAGTTCACCTAAATCTGCTAGACAACAGGGAAGCCAAAATAAGCACATGCTAATGTCAGTCACCTGCAATCAATGACCAACAGCGTAGGTCATGAAGATAATGGTCTCTCCAACTGAATAAAATGCACGAGCAAATATCCTCAAGCCACCTGTTCCTACATAACTGGCCCACTCTTTTTGAGCAACTTGCTTGAAAATCCAACAACGACTATTGCTGCAGAGATGCACAAATTGATGGGACAAACCACCAAGTACCTCAGTAGCGACGTAAGAGGACCAAGGAGTAAGTTGTTAGAGATCAGGAAGATATGCTCTCAGATGGATCGGAAGGTCATATTCCTAACCAAAACAAGGCTATTTCTCGCAATGCAGATGATGAGCTTTCAAGGCATGACACTCTTTCAATGAGATAGGGTACATCAGACAGGTGGCGGAGTGGCTATACATCATATTAGCCATTGCAAAGTTGGAAACTACATGGCATGCGAATAACCGATGTCATAGAATCCTGTTGGTGTTGTTCCAACATAAATGGCATGAAATACTTGATTGTGGGGGACCGACGGCCCCTCTGAGGTATTAAGACTCAGAATGATCAGTTGGTTAAGGAAGTATTGCGATTTCCACTCATTGGGCTTGACCAAGCACCCTTAACTGGAGGTTTCAACACTCCATCTAAAGATCTTAGCAAATAGATTGGAATTCCCACTGTTCGGTCCAAAGATAAACTCATCACAAACTTTGGAAGTGCCGAGCTGACTTAAAATTCATGCCACCCCCAAGCCCCATTGAAATATGAATGGTGCATCCAAATGTAACTGATCACTGGCAGACGATCAAAGATTTCATTCCAAACGCTGTCCTACACAATGTACGCTATGCACATCACACACCCAGTAACAGAAAAAGATGGATTAGGCATGTCACTGAACGTTTGCTACGGCAGAAAAGCAGAGCCTTTTACAAGCGTAGGGTCTTTTTTAAGGATTTCAACCGTGGTTCTTACTCGGAACTAAGAAATAGATGCAGTGCCAAAGTCCACAGTGATAGGAGTGGCTTTCAGATGAAGATGACTCTCCAGATACAGCCAAACTCTAAGCATCTGTTTCATTTCATGACAAAAAAAATCAGTGTGTGTTCCCTCGTAGGTCCAAATGGCGGAGATCTTATCAACCTAGAAATGGTTGAGATCTTCAACACCAATCTCGATGATCATCTAAACCAGGTACCTACACTCTCAGGGAATTACTCATACTTAGCGCCGAAATATTTTTGACTTCGTACTTGGTGAACTAAGTTTTCTGTTCACAGGAAAGTAACTAAGTGGATATATGAAGGATCCAGCCTGTGACAGTTGAGTTGAATGACTACTAATACTGTCGAAGGTAATGGAAGGACTGATGTATGAGAGCTGATAAGCTTCACGGATTTACTCGTATTTTTGCTCAGGAACTACCTTCAGAACAAGAGGTTTCGTATGGAGGTAAATACAGTGCATATGAGGTAGAGGTTACTAATATCAGAATTTTCACAGAGGACAATCTTAAGTCCAGTTAACACTCATTAATGACCACTTTGAATTTACTCAGCTCATTATTCTATGCAGTTGATGCAAAGATCTGGAGGTCCCTAAAAGGCGAACAGGATTGAGTTGAGCTTCAAAATGATCTTACAATAACAGAAAATGTAATAGATAATGGGTCGAAAGTGAACCCGTTGAAATATCACATTATGAACGTTCTGTTAACCAACGCCACACTAACAGCTTACATCCTCAATGGAAGTTTCCTGCCAAATGTCTCCTCATAGCATCATTTCAGTTTAATGATCGAGAAAATATGAAGACCTATTCAAGCTACATAAGAAATGAAGTCTATGTGTTTGAAACTCTTCACTTTATGCGAAAACGAACTGGTGCAAACACCTCAAAATTTTCTTAGCGCTTTTCAACATATCTCATGGCTTACCTTGAAGTTCACAATTTCGTCAGACTCTTATCCTTCAAAGCGACATAAATCTGTTCAGTCGAGAGCATATAGGAGCATCCGAGTGAGTGATAATTTCAAAGAACAAACCTTATGAATATAGACCCCAGCAAGTCAGATTATTCTTGCTCAGCTTTAGAAAAATCACGGGTGATCTAATAATGGCACATAACATATCCATTCTGATAAATCGTCCCAAGCGTCTGCACCGCTTTTCGAGGTAACTCACGGAAAATTGCACATCAGTGAGTGTGCACCCGTTTTGCTCATTAAAAATTGCCCCCTTGTAACGATTTGTCAGCTGAAGTAACTGTATCACAGTTAGAGGATAGCTCCATAAGTAGACTTGATAAACGTATTCTCACATACGGATTATCATTTCTCGCTTGAACAACCTATGCCTGATGCATATCTCGGAACTTGAACTTTTTTGTCATAAGTATCTCAAATCACCAAACTAATCTGCCTCGCTACTCGCTCCGTTTCCTTTTGCTCGCTTACATTTCTGTACTCTCGCGCAATGTTTACCATCAATTAATTTACTCATTTATATATTGAATTCTGTAATGTTCTCATTAGCACCAATTTTTTTCCTTTTTATTTCCCGAAATGGCAACCTAATAGCTGCAGGTATCAATGATTTCTACTGCTCTGAGACGAACGCACTCATTCAAATTACGGGATATACAAATTCATAAATAACTTCAGTGACTTGAATTAGTTCACTCGAGTGGTTATATTACCACTCGCTTTACACCATTATATACCAGAGACCGTACTCAAATGAAGAGAAACAAGCGCAAAGAAATCATTCGATCTATGCAACCTGATGAAACAGATACTGTTATGTATTGGATATTGTGAAAAGGAAATACTTTACAATCGAAAGCTCCTCTCTCATGAAGTCGTGAATTTCTGAAATTCTCTTCATAATCCGTAAAAACGGCACCTATTACTGATCAAAAATAGAGTTTAGATTTTCGCCACACTATCAACATTGTCATTCGTACTTTTACAACTATTGAGGACTGTAGATATTGAATGTTGGATAATACGCGCTCTGATCGGATGTGTTTTCATACTAGCAGGATTTTCGCATTACGAAAATCGATTAAACACTTTTCTCACTAATGGAATTTTGAAAATGAGTTGCTTTCCATACGGCCCCAGAGGTAATACTTATTCTCAGTTTGATAGATCGGAAATAACACAGGTATGTTTACATTTGTTAACTGTAATCGATCTTATTGAAATATATTCACAATGTTAGCTACCTAGTTGGCTTAATTTTCGTAATTAAACGTTCCTAATTATACTGGTTGAATAAGTGCATTATTTAGGTTGGATTTGTGACTAATTAAGAAGTCTGATTCGATCCTTCTAATTTCCTTTTTCAGTTTCTCCAGAAATTTTTTTCACTGATTTAAACCTGATTTTTCTTGCACATTATTAAATGAATCAATACACACTCTACAGATAACTCGTTTCGATTGTTGCATTACCGGCCTTTTCAAGAATAGCTTCCTATTAACTGGCATCACTTAGTCGGCATTACTAACGCTGGCTTATCGTTGGTATACAAACTATGGCTGCAAGTTTATTGGCATTTGCAAGATTTTCATTCTGACTTGTACATATAATTCTGTCCTCTACGTCCTATACGTCAAGAAGAAATAAGGTAGTACTCCACAATTTACTCACTCGCAGTTAAGTGTATCTGAACGGCTTTTCTTCCCGCCTTTAACTTACATAGCATTAATTAACTACCAGGTAACGACTTCGTCTCCTAACATTTTTTATGAGAGAAGTCATTTAGCAACATCATTCTCAATATCTTATCATTTATTTAAACTCAAGCATTGGTACGAAGGGACTGCAAATTATTTATTTATCACAAGTTATTTAACTCGTTAGTGCGCTTAGATACTTCCTGGTTGTCCAAATCGAAGCAAATGGTTTTAATTGAGAGCTTCTCCCTTATCCTTCCGTCTTTTAGCCTAATCCACGATTCCATTACATGAACGTCTACTTAACAGATGAACTGTTGTTATTACAACCTATAATTAGGTGCCTTAGAAGACTTTCAGTCAAGGTGTGTATAGTTAGGTTGGTTTTTTAATACCAATAAAAAAACTGTCTCTATAAGTATGAGCTATATGCATTAGCGAATTTACTTAGTTATTCAGCTGTGAAGCAACAGTAATGAGTGTAGAAGTAATGCCTATAATTTCTATATTTAAAAATTCACTTCTGTAAAGGCTATTTAAGAAATCTAAGGTCATTCACATTTTTTGGTAACTGTACTAGTGCTTTCCATTACATTTCAGAATTAATGCTATACACAGAATTTTAAATAAAAACCACTCAGTTAATTAGGTTATGTTCATAATAGTGCCCAGTAACATCGAAGCTGACATGTTTGTCTATTGGTCGCTAATTTATTATATTTGTATTAGTATATGCCAGTGGTAGATGTGTACTCATACTGTTTACTAATATTTTCTCGGTATTCTACTATGACTTTATTAGTGATAATGATTGTCAGTACGGCTCTTCAGATTACTAACTGCTATCTCTAGTTCATAGTTTCTGTTTCATTATTCGCTTACATCATACAGTTGTAATAGTTTGAATCAAGCCGGATTTTACAAATGTCAAGCAGTTACAGTATACTTTAACAATGTCTTCAGCTATCTTCTGTTCTTAAGATGGATTATGTAAGTAGTTATACTTACAGATTCACCTATCCCGGAGTCTAAACCTTGTCTTTTATGTGTACATAAATCCGTTGTGTTCCCTCCTCTTTATAACCAAGGTAATTAAGCCTGCCAGGTTGTTTTTAACATCGATTTATGTGTTAATTAAGGTTTAATTTGGCCTGAACAAAAATTGGTTACAGTTCGTATGGTCATTAGCCCTTGGTTTAAGATATATTGGTCTGTAACGTCCATAGTCAAAATCCATGAGACATTTGAATCTATTAGTTGTGGGTTAAGTAGTATTTTTCTGTGGTTTTGAAACTCTGTAGTGCGCATATTACGGAGGTTCGGTGAAGTGTGCCAGCATGATAATCATTAAAGTAGATGCAATCGTTAATAGACGTCAACGTCAATTCATTTGAATGTACAATAACCCACTAAATTCAATCCAAATAAATGGGTGGAGGGAAATTAGGTCTAACTTCAAAACTACTATCTCAAGAGCTTTTTCAGAAGACCATATTTTCCCAGTTTCTTCCATGAAAGCCTTTTTTCTGCCTTACAATAACAAGTGTGTCCTATAAAGGTAAATATCTATCAATATATTCGGTGTCCCCTTTGGGAATCGAGAATAACCATGAGCTCTCTTACTGTTACTCCTATACTTCAGAGATTAACCCTTCAGGTATTTTTTCGAATTTTATCCCTTAAGAATGTCATCTGGTTTCATTGTATTATCAAGGTTCTCGCTTATTTCTCCATTTTTCAAGGGTGAATGTCTGGATACCACTACTTCTCTATTTGTGTTTTTGTTTTCTCTTGTTGTTTTTCAGCGTTGGGCGACTAATCCTACTCATGGTACTGACTCTACAGTTGACAGAACACCTGCACCACCCTTACGGACAACAAGCGCACCTCTTGGAAGGTAGGCACAAAGATTATGTGTATCCTATTATTGTCACTTTCGTTTCCAGTTCCATTGAAAATATATCCTTTAAGCCAAATAAACCATTACCACTTACACCGGTGGAAGAAGAAAAACGTGACAAAAAGAAACATAAAAGTAATAATTGTTTGGTTAATGTTTTTAAAATATTATAATTATATTTAATTAAAGGTGGTGTCAGTAGACTTGGAAAATTCAAACCATCTACTATGCCGAATATATCAGCACCGGTCAATGTTATGCATAAAGTACACATCACAATAGATCCAGTTACTGGTGAATTTGAGGTGTGTTTCAAATGCTTCTTTATGTTGTTTTACCATTGGTTATGTAAAAAAAAAGAATTTTCATTCGAAGTCAGTCATAAATAATCCTTTGGTGGCGTTCTCTACGTCCCTGTTTGTTAATAATATGGGACTTTTCATGAACATTTATGCTCTAACGATTCCTTACAATATATTTGATTTAAAAATAATTTTGTTTTCAAATCATCAAACTATACATTTCCGAAAAATATCAACTACTGTCTAGGTATGCCAACTCCTCAGGTCTTGATATATGTAACTAATGTCCAAATATATGACACGTTCAACTGTGAAAACTACTATTTTCTAAAACCTTAAAAATCTAATCACACCTCTGTTAATATTAAATGTATGTGATATCTTATCCAAAAACTAGGCCTAACATTCAGGTTCTTAATCAGTTAGAGAGAAATTGACCTGCATGCTATTTTCCTCTAATCGCTTACAACATATCATGTTTATTTTGTAGTAATACTTTGTGCTTAAAAGTATGTCATTTTATTGTGTAAAAAATCAGTTATTTTTAGATCCTAACTACTTTATCTTCCTCATATGACTTCTCTCTATTTACTCTCGCATTGGATTATCACTGATTTGTTATATATTGGTGATCTAGTCTGTCCAGTTTGCATAGATCTGGTTCTATGCTGGAAGAGTTTCTCTATCTTTCGTAATTCAAAAATTCTAAATTCGATTCAAAACAATGCATAATTCGATTGCTATCACATCTGACAGCTGTTTAAATCAGATGGTGATAGCCAGTTCACTTTGGTTGTGCTTTCATCATGACGTTTAAACGACTTAATTATTTGGAAAGAGTGTATAATACTACTGCTACTACTACTAATACCAATTACTATTTGATGGTAGTTGTCTAGTGATTTTTGAATTAATGGTTGATTTGAAGATCAGCTTATTCAATATATATATATATATATATATATATATATATATATATATATCATTATTCTTGTTTATTTGTTGGTTTCCTTAAAAAAAAACAGGGTATGCCTCCAGAATGGTCTCATATGCTAACGATGGCTGGTATCACAAAGTGGGAACAACAACAAAATCCAACCGTTGTACTGAATGTGTTAAATTTACTGAGCAGGAAAGATGATACTCCTCAAAAATATATGACTAGTATTGTCGGACCACCAAGTGGTAAGTTGAGTTAATGATAAATTGTTTTTTTTTCTGTGATAATTTAAAGGATTTTATGTATTTTCAAGATAGTTTCCCTCTGTAGTGAATACGTTAATAATTCTGAGAAAATAAATAAAGGTTAAGACTTGTTCCTCTTCTAATTTACAATTTTCTACACCAATTCATATCCTAGACATCTCGAATATAATCCTGAATGTTCAGTTAAATTAGTGTAAATTTCACCCTATAGAGTTATTAGGTTATTATTTAAAGACTCTATTGATTATCAATATTAAGTATACTTTCTTCGAACTTAACTGTTACGACAGGTTGGTCCCTTTAATTGAAAACTTGTCTGTCATGTAGTCGGTTTTCTTTCGTAGAACGGACCTTATGTATCGACTTCCTTATTAGAAGACATGTAAGACTACATAATTTTATCTTCTTTGCTTAGACGCTTTTTCCAGTAAATGTCCCACTCTGTCAAAGTGTTTTAGCATAGAGTACACAAACATATTCTGGATAAACGGGTGGTCGCACTAATTGAAATTACCAATTATTTTGAACTTCCAATTAATTGTCATTCAACTTAATGGTTTAAATGGTTAGGTTGTATCATTGTCAGTCCCATATAATGTGTTGTTATGTACCTTATTATATAATACTATGCATGGTTGATAAGTTAAGTCACTTTCTAAATTATACACCATCCAACCGTTAGCCAGTGTGTTTGACTAATTAAAATCCTTAAAAATGCAATCAACACTTATACACTCCAAGTCACATTTATTATACACAGTTGATTAGAATATTACTTTAAGGGTACTGAAATGTGTACAGATTAAATAAGAATCACATGCGTAACTCAGTGCTTGTAATTTAATTCTTTAATTTACTGATCTCTCGGAAATGAAAATTATGGTTTTCCAACTCCTCTAGGTGACTTTTCCACACCCACCTTGCCTTGTCGAACATTCGCTTTTCATACTCGATTTCGTTGACAACACCCTGCTACGGGAAGGCAGTGAGTAGGACTTCTCTGGCAGTGGTTATATACGAATTGCTATATGAAAGGGAGAGCGGACTCTCCCCAATCTTAATCGTACCAGGACATCTAGGGGCCATATTATAAAGTATTTACTTCCACCTTTACGTAATTCAATATAACGCCTAAAAATTGCATGATCTCTACTAGCCTGGTTTTTGCCTAACCCTTACAGCATCGGTCATTCTTCAGTAAATGAACAATGTAAATATTTCAAACTTGAAAAAGAGTAACTTGTAATCAACATAGTACACCTTTGTCGTCTCTGCTTGTAATAATTCCTTGTTGATTTCTACCATTGAATACAAAATCGATCGATTTCTCCAACTATTTACTGACTTGTTTACGTCTTGAATCACTGAATCAATTAGTAGTAGTACGCTAAGATTGAAACCAAATACCCAGTATCATCGCTTCGACTTCAACCAGGTTGTCATTCACTAAATTATGAGTTCAAATAACCAGTGACTTGTTCAATAGGCTTTAAATTAGCTGTATTTATTTATTTGAACACGTCAATATTGGTACAAATAAACACTAAAATGAATATACACCACAAAGATAAGTAAGTAAAATTGTGAAAAAAAAATAAAGTGGTTGATTATAAGCAAAAAATAACTAAGTGAATCAAAACAATTACAAAGGTATATGATATAATGGAAGAAACTGTTCAATTCAAAAAGTATAACTTTAAAATTCTTCTATTTAAATTAATGCCTCTCATTTTTAAGAAAGCAAATGACAATTACAACTGGACCCCCCACTATTTTCTATTCTAAACTATGTGTGATTACGTTTTGAGCACTATCTTGTTATACACTGACAGATGCCGATTCTGTTCAAATTTCATACACCGGCTTACTTACTAACTGACGTCTGTTACCTCCAATGGAGCATAGGCCGCTAACCAGCACTCTCCCACCTACTCTGTTCTGTGCCTTCCTTTTCAGTTCTGTCCAATTTTTCTCCATTCTTTCATTCTTCTCATATCTATCTCCATTTCTCGGCGTAATGTGTTCTTTGGCCTTTTCCTTCAGCCTTGAGGGCTTGTCTTGTAATGCAGTTAGGGACTTTCTCCAAAGTGTGTCCCATTCACTTCAAGCGCTTCTTCCTGCTTTATTTCTCCTCTGGAGTATGGTTTGTTCTCTCCCACAGTAGATTGTTGGTGGTAGTGGCTGGCCAACTGATCCGAAGTATTTTGCTAAACACACAAATGCTGCAGACTGCATTTGAGTTTGATGTTAGTAAAGTGTTTCTAAAAATATCACACCTCACCTTTGATATAATAACAACAGACAAATCCTTGAATTACATTAGGGCCCTAGGATCGGACTTTGAATGACATTACTCAAAATCATTTTCGATGGGCACAGTTCCATCCATTCTTTGTCTTCTCTCAGATTTTAACCTTCTGACTTCCTCATGACCTTCATTCTGTTTTTAAATTTATTTCATATATTCGACCCCTGATCTTTCTCTTTATTGCTGATACTGCTACAACCTATACCACTGTGGGATTTGAATTGACAATCCCATCTCTCTGTGCTAATACCACATGGCAACTTGGACTGATCTACGTGTGTACAAAGTTCTACGTCGTAACTGACTGAATGACCGACCATTATTACAGGATAGCAGTTTGATAATTGTTTCGTCTGTATTGTTTATTCAGTCCCAATGACACCATTATAGTGAGATAACAGTCGAAAACAATACTTAATAACTATTGGTCTGGAATGAAGTTCTCCCAAGCTCGCTCACTCTCTCGCTCTATAGCCAAAATAGAAAATGAATAATCTTTGATTAGGCAGTTTAAGCTTATCACTCAACTCATAATAATACGGCATAAAATTTTGACCACACGTCGCTGTAATTAAGAAAAATTCAGTATGGAAATAGCTACGCCATAAATGGAAAAGATCTGTGTTATTATGCCATAATTAATTGATAGTAAACAAAAGGTATCGTGTGTAACAGTGATTTATGTATCATAAAAGAGCCTATAAGTAGGGGAATACAAAGCCGTTATAATTCATATATTTAGTAATTATAAATTGAAAATATACACATTAATTTTGGGTAGATTAGTTTTGAAAGTTCAGCTTTGCTCAATATTCGCTCCATTATAGCAGCCTCCACAAATTTCCGCCACCGACGGCATGATCTAAAAACTACGGAGCTAATAGCGAGAATTCCTCGCAAAACAATCGTGTATGATTCCCAGACAGTTATCCTTTGGGCTCTGTAGTTAATCTTTAAGTTTGTAAAAACCACGCCCAACCGAATTCCTTTATCAAGTTTTTTAAGAAGAGAAATATCCGTCCATTAAACGGAGGACCGGTAATCAGCAACCACACACTCACTCAGAATGTGGAACAGATTACAGAATTATTTACAAACATAATGACGTGCTAGATAGTTGGTGTTATTTTGTCACGTTGAGTAGTATTTCTGCATAACTCGATCGTTTCAAAATGCTGATAATCATCTGAGTTTGTTTACATAACTTACCTATGAACAATAAATTGTTTTCACCTTTCTTTTACCTTATTAACTGTTTGCCAATCGTGGGAAATTAACTGTAAAGCGTTTATATATGTACTTTTTGTATCGCTGTATATAGTGTTAAAAATTAATCTAGGTGACCCAGTTTCCTCACTATTTCTTCCTCATGTGTACAATATATATATATATATATATATATATATATATATATATATAACACCTGATGCGTTCATTCAATGTCGTAACCAAAGTTCATGTTTGTGTTTGTACAAAATTTTTCTCACTATCACTACAAATGCTGATTCGATCTCTCTCTTCTATAAATCGTACTTATTTAATTGTTTGTTTATACTTTTTTCAACTTGCTATTGTTTGTGCAATTCATCTAATGTCATTATTGATTCACACATTTAGACAGACACACACACGCACACACAACGCATCATCCATTGCAACGCCTTCATGAAATTAATTATCATTGACTTTTTAGCACTTTTGGCGCATTAAATAATTAATTTATCACGTACATCCGCATAGATTTAAATGTTTTTTTTTTCGTTCATTTATGAAAAAGAAAATTACTAGGCGAACAAAATCGGCTGCACTTTTTTTTGCCTTAAAAATACATTTATCTCTCGGATTGATACGATGGCTTTACATGGCTGTATCAACATTTTTCAATAAATATTATCGAGATTTAATATATATTTTTTTAAAATTTATTTTATAGCAGTAAACAGTCAACTAGTAAGAGTTTACATTTCCTCATTTTTGAATAATAAGGACTTCAGCAATCAGTCAATTTCTTTCGACATACGCATATTCTCTGGGTGCATAGCCCCACTGTTGGTTGATTAGTCACCAGTTTTAGGAAATTTGGATTGTGGCAAGCGTTAAGTGAGATAATTCACGTTTTGAACTTGTCAATTGAACGTATTTCCTATATCCTTGTATCGATGTTCACATTGCAATTAGAACCCATGGTTCAATGTCTCTTCAAAAGCCAACATGTCATTCTATAAGCTACTTTGTCCAAACAGCTAGTTAACAAGCCCGAAATAGGACAAAAAGATCGTGCTGAATTTCACTAAAAACTATCGTTCAGTTTTGCTAAAACTCGTGACAATATGTCGGTATCAATGCAGTCCATTCAATACGGTATGTGTGACAATAGGGACTGGTCATTTGCTGTCCTTACTTTTATCAACAATAGGGAACTAGCAACGCATACCAATAACTTCATGCCCATTTATTAAATTATTGGCTCATATGAACTCACTGGTTTAGTGAATGACATGTTGGTTTTTATAGCGATATTATGTACTAAGTTCTAGTCTGAGTCTAAGCATCCATATTGGGCAGTATGTCTGACTGATGTGTCTCAATCAGAATGAAATGTACCTTTTAACATACTGTATTGTTAAATCATTTACTGAATTTAGAAACAATACATCAACATTGCATAGTTATCTTTGAAGTCCTTACTATATAAAAATATGATGTTGTATGTTACTGTCAATTAGTTTTCATGATGATAGACTTATTTCATATCTTTATTCTATTTGTAACTGTATTATCACCCGCCATAAGTCGATTATTTGTTTAATTATTACTAGCTGCAACGCATTTTCTCATCTTCATTAAAAGTAGGATCAGTTGAATTTTATAATCTAACAGGCCAAACTCGATCACTCTCTCTCTTTTTTTTTCATATACCTATTTAACTAGTATATGTCATTTGGCTAAAAATAATTCCTGGAATGAATTTTTTTTTATTCAAAACTGAACATGTAATAGATTCATGCAAAAATCACTATTTATCCTAAAATACTGTCTGTATACAAAAGTAAATGGGACTACATGACTGTTGAATGAAACCTGTATGTTTTTTTTGTCAATGTGTTGGAAATGATAACAACCAATTCATAATTGATTGAATTGAATTTCAACCATGTGAAGCTGGTTGATAATCCCGATGACTATTGAATCGTAACTCGTTAAACTTCAATGATATGATAGATGAGGCCTAACTATTGAAAAAATTCCCGTGTAAATTAGAATAGCACATATAAGCCAGTCCATATTATTTTCAACCAGATGTTCACTTTAAAGTACAGTAATATATGCGTATAATCAATATGAGACTGAACAGTACAGAATATGAGTTTAAATTCCATCCTTTGTCAAATTGACAGTGCTTACTTCTTAAGGAATAAACCCTAAGTGAAAAAACAAAACAAAACAGAAAGCTGTCTCATAAACACTAATTTCTATTAAAAGCTTTCTTGTCATATTCTTATTGGTTGTGTATCTGATAACTGCATATAATTTGAGTAATATCCCTATTCGTCTTAATTATAAACATGAATTAACATAATATTCTCAATGCAGTATACATTTTAATAAAGAAACATTTTCTATATCTAACTATCAACCATTGAATTATAGTTATGTAACTTGTAAGCTCCTTCCACAGTATGCTCTGTCATAAGTTAGAATGTAGTTCTATTTTTTAATGAATGTAATAATACTGTACTCCAACTGTTATTAATAAATTATTTGACTAATTACATTATTCACTCGATTATATTCTCTTTTTTTTTCTGTACATTCAATTCAACATTTTTAGCGTTGGATCTATCTTCAAATGATCAAATTAATAATTCAAACGATTTAAATGTTGGTCAAGCACTTTCATTGCCAACATCAAATTGTACTCAATGTTGTACACCGGATACAGAACGAATTACCTCAATAACTAGAATATCATGTTCAGTTGAAGTAGGACCAAGAAGTAGCAGTTTGAGCAGTGGTCGTGGCAGTAGTGAAGGCATTGGAAGTCGTAGTGGAAGTGGCAGTGGTGGTGCTGTTAGTCGAAGCAGCAGTAGCGGTCATGGTATTGGTGGAAGTGTCCAAATGTCTGGTATGGTTCTTAGTCCTTCTGGTGGTTCCAGTGCAGCTATCCCTCTGTCAAATAGTTATGGTAGTCCAAGCAGTAGTCATTCCTCAAGTGCAGGAAGTGCACCAACAGCGCCATCAGCCGTTATCAATGGAGTTGAACTTATACCTGCACCGCTTCTTCCCCATAAATTATCATTTAGTTCTTCAAGTCAAGTGTTAAATTATTCCACAATGTCTAACCAATCTATGGATAATGCAGCTAACACTTTTATGCTTAATTCAATGTCCGATTCCCATGCACTTCATCAATCTTCACTTACTTTACCGCCATTAGCTCCAGCACTTCATAATCATACGTGTGCTATTGGAAGTGCCAGTTGTTCACCTGTCTCTTATCAACAACAACATCATCATACTAATTTAGCGTCTCATCGAGAGACTACTGAATCCGGGGTAAGTTGTTGTTGTTGTTGTGAAGCGAATTTTTCTCCTTATTTTCTAGATTAAATCATGTTGAGTTGTTTGCTTTTTCTTTCATAGTGTGAAAGTCCACTTCTTTTTTTTTTGTATTTTTATGAAATTTTCAGTTTTATGCAAAACTTTGATTCATCAACAACCATTAAGTACAGTCGATAAACTGAATGATAACATACTGTTGTGTCCATTTCGATAGTAGTATTCCAAATGTTTGCGTTGGAATATTATTTCCATTTGTCTGTTCTTTAATATTTTCCGTAATGAAATTAGTGTAGAATGTTTTGTTGTACAGTTATAAAAATATTGTGTATATGGACATTGAGCAAAGTAAAGATCTAGAATTAAAATCGATTATATTTTATGACATCCATTCGTAAATATGTTTCGAGATGTATCGACCATAGATAGATAGCTGTCTAACTTATTTATCAACAGTTTTAGATTGCTACAAATCATTTATTTGGTGAATGTATAGTTGAGAGGTGATGATGATAATGGCAGTTCAGTTTCTGTTGTTTTATTTACTAAATATCGGCAATCACATGATTAGTGTGTTTTGAGATTTCGGTTGAGCTTACAGTCAATTCTATTTATGAATGAATAGTTGAAAATTCTTCTCATACAACACAATTCACAGAAACTTGGATAGACAAGAACAGTAACAACGAACGCTTCAGCGTCAATTAATTCATATACATTAATAGAGAGAATGATAATTATTTCAGGACAAGTTTATATTTCAAATAGTAGAAATCGAATACTTAAAAGGTACACTCATCTTGGGGCATATGACCTAGGCTAGCAAACTTAAAGCGACAGCAACTTAACAGGTAACCGCCAAAGGTACTGCGGAAATACCGATTAAGAAAATGTTATGGATCAGTCAATCAACAGCAACGTAGAACTTCGTACGTACGTATGTACATCAGTTCAAGTTGCCATACCACATTAGCACAGACACATCATTGTCAATTCAAACCCATAGTAGTAGAGTTATTAAGGGTATTAGCAGTGATCGGAGAGATTAGGGTTCGACGATATTATTCAAGAAGTAGAATCTAGTGAGAGGAAATTCAAAAGAAGAAGATAAAGGTGATGAGGAATTCAGAAGGTTACAATTTGAGAAAACAAAGAATGAATGCACTTGTGACATTGAAAACGGTTTTGAGTCATGTCATTCAGGGTCTCTAGCCATCGATTACTATCATCTTACGGGCGCCAACCGGGTAATCGACACTTCCCAACATAACTCAATCCAATTGTTAGTGACTCTATGGATTTCTGCTATGTTTTGGTTTGGCCACCCCTAGTTTCCTTCCAACCTATTCCTACACCGTAAAACAGCTTGACGAAACGGTCCTTGGTTAGGCATACGTCGTAACACACATCCCAACCACATCAACTGATGAAGTTTGAATACTTCATCTATTGATCTGCCATCTTTGCCAAGTACCCGTTTCCTAACAACAGCAATGCTTACTCAGTTGTCCCATGATACACGAGCAATGCTTCGGAGACACCTATGATCAAAAACAAGCAACCTATGAATATCTTCTACTCTAACTGGCCATGTTTTACAGACATAATGTAGGACGGAGCGAACTGCTGCGCAGTACACTCGTCCTTTGGTTAGCAAACGGATATCTCGCCTACGCCATAAGTGACGTAAGTTGGCAAAAGCCAATCGAACTTTCTGTATCGGTGCTCAGATTTCGTCAGTCACCAGGTCATCAGCACTGATGAGACTCCCGAGATAAGTGAATCGGTCAACGTGCTCAATTGCTTCACTTAACGCAAGCCAATCTCGAAGCAACATTTTGACGAGCAGAGTCGCGGTTCCCGAATATGCTCACATTGTTGCTCAGGGTAGTCAGGAGACACTGCGAATTGTCAACGTCTTCACCAAGTAGAACTATGTCGTCGATATATTCCAAGTCGACCAGTGAATCTCCTGGTAGAAGGTCTACTCCTGAAAGTCAGACGAAGATAATATTATATCTAGCAGCATGTCTATGACAAAATTAAACAAAAACAGTGAAGGTAGACATCACTGACGGACGCACTTAAAGTAAGCAATTCCGATGACAGTTCGCAGTTAGCTATAACTAGTCCTGTAATGTTCGGGTAGAGAGCCTGTGTAAGGTTAATTCACTTTTCTGGTACACCTTTTAATGACAGATACTGCCACAGAACTTCACGATCGATAGAGTCAAATGCTGCTTTCAGGTCCAGGAGGACAACTATTGTCAGACGCCTAAATATGTGTCTGTGTCCCAGGACCTGTCGTGGTGTGAAAATGTGGTCTATACCGTCACATTCAGGTCGAAAACCAGCCTGGTTTTCTCTAGTCTACACTTCAGGAGCTCTAATTAGGCGTCTAAGTATAATCGAGGCTAATAATTTAGAAACAATATCAGTTAGACTGATTCCCGTGTGATTGTCACAAGAGGACTTCTGTCCTTTCTTATGGACTGGGACAATCAGTGATTGAGACCAGTCGGATGGGATTGTGTCCAGTTCCCAGATTCTGCTTAAGATCTCAGTCAATCTAGCTGTTAAAACTGGGCCACCATCCTTAAAAATCTCAGCGATCAATCTGTCAGCACCTGCTGCTCTCCCTCGCTTCAGATTTCCTATCCCTTTCTCAACTTCATAAAGATTCGGAGGATTTATATTGGTTTTCCATTCAGGATGATTGGAGATCGTGGTAACCAAAGTGTTGTTGAAGGCCAGTTGAAATGATTCCTGAAGTGTTCTGCCTATCGATCCAATCTCCTGTATTGAGAGTGAATGATACAGCCATCCTTTTCCGAGACAGTCTCACTTACATTCGGATTACTAATATCGTTTTCCTTGATGAGTCTGAATAGTTTTCTACTGTTGCCTATTGCCACTGCCTTTTCCATATCTCGCTTTAACTACCCACCACTGTTCCCGATCATTGCGTAGGCTTTTTATCAACCTACACCTTAGTTGACTCCGCTCCACATCGCGCTCAGAACCATGTGGGATGAGCTTTCAGTTCGGTAGATGCTACTGAGATCCATGGCTTCTCCCTAACCTGATGGTTTACCTAACTAGTAGATATCACTGCTGTTTCCACAGCTTTTTTAATGTCATTCCGAGCTACCTCAGGTTTCGCTTCACTTACTTCATGGCTGCTTAACTGTTTTTCTAGTTGTTCCTGAAATATATACATAGCTCTGCTATCATTAGGTAGAACCGTAATAGTTTTCCTTGCGGTGTCTTTCCTACGTCCGGTAAGTCGCAAACAAATAAGCGCTCGCACTAGAGCATGATCTGAATCTAGACATGTGCCCTAAAACGAGCGACAGTCCTCTATCGAACCTCTCCATCGGTGGCTGATTGCGATGTGATCTAGTTGGGTCCATCGTTGGGTCGACTTTGGGAGTCTACAGGGAAAAAGATGTTTTTCCTTATGCTTAAAGTTAGTGTTTGTTAGGAATAGGCGGTTATCTGAGCATAGCTGCAGCAGACGGTCACCATGATCAGTTCTTTGGGCCGCGATGCCATAAGATCCACCTAATTGTCTTTCCTTTTTACTTAGTCTATCTACTTGAGCATTGAAGTCACCAGCCATTATTACTGTATCAGAGCGCCTAACATTTTGGAGGAGGTTCGAAAATAATCATGATAATTTTAATAAGATTGTAAAGATTCATCTAGTAAATAAATCGCTAAACAAGAGTATTGGATTGAAATCAGTAAAGTTAAAATGATACATTTATATGATGAAATTGAGAATTGTGGCAAAGTTGTCAATGGTTTCTATTCAGATATCGTCCTGATTTGTATATTCTCTAAATTCTCATTAGACGGAGTCATGAAAGATGGATAGATGTCAATCCAATGCAATTTTTTTTCATTCCACAACATTTTATCATAAACTAACATCGCTACAGTCAGTCAGTCAGTTGCAACGTAGACATAGCTACAGTTTTTATCCCAATCCCAAAGTTGGCGAATAATGTATGATGTGGAATCCGGTGTAACAACACTTTGAGATCGTGAGTGAATTCCTATCGTCACTTCTAAGGATATATATATTACCAGATCCTAGCCTTACTTACACGGTATCATTGTTGGTCTGCATTGACGATAGAACACAAAGTTACTAGTTTTTAGCAGTATTAAATTGAACTGCTATCATGAAAATTTCATGCGTCCAACCCTTTACAACAAAACTAAATGTTTCAATGATCCTTAAGACGGTTCAAATAGGTATTAACATTCTGGTTTTAATTATCAGTAAACCAGTATTATTTCCTATGCCACTATCATCATCATAAAACGTAACTATTTATAGACATGAACTTCTAGGATTTTCAACAGTGGTCGTCTGTTTTAGGTTGGAATGGGTCACTGCTCTACACTATCATGAACATCATTGCTAATGAAATTGAAATTGAAAGTAAATGAACCGATTAAGCTGACTTGATTGATTCTAGTGCTATCGATGCTTTTATTGATCTCAAGAGAAAGCGGCAAACTGATTATGTGTGTTGTTATCGACTGACCTTGAACATTAAAGAACAGATTAGCATCTTAACTCTCGTTTTCGTGCTAGACACAGCATCATTAACAAAAAGTATAGATGAAAGTGAACTATTCGAATTTCTTCACATAATATAACTAACTACTGGCAACTTGTTTTGTAGACTGTTCTTAGAATGTAATAAAAATAGACCTTTTTTTTAGATTAAGGATAAAGTTAATTTGATTTGATTTATAACTATTAGACAATGAATTGATTTTCATCTGTTGTTTTTTGTTTTTTGATGTAGATTCATTCAGATCATGAATTACGATCAGTAATTATGGGCTCCTCAACTAATTTAAACACTGTCACTAGTGTCAATGTTAGTCGTTCTATGCCGCCTATTACATCTCCTTATGTATTGCATCCAATTTCATCATCCTCCTCCTCTAAACAACCTCATTTAGAGTTGATCAATCAAACTAGCCAGAAAACTTCTTGGCATCCACAAATTCATTCACATTTAACCAATGCACCACCTTTATCACCTGGTCTACCAAGACGATTTGTTGATGGTATTCTACCATCATCATCTGACATATCTAATCATGCTACTACTACTATTCAATATTGTTCATCAGGTCAATCATCTCCATCTCCAGCAGGATCTGCTACTCCAGTGCCTACACCACGACGTGAATCACTATCTGGCACACCATCATGTCAACGAACAATTTTATCCATAAACAATAATAATAATAATAATAATAACAATGTTACTTTGGTCAATAATACTAGTGTAAATCCACCACCAATAGCTATGCGTCCAGAGAAAACAAAATCTATAGTAAGTTAATTGTTACCATGTTTTGTTACAATAAAAAAAATAAGCTTACTGTATGAATATAATTATTTTACTGGTTATTATTATTATTATTATTATTGTTATTATTATCGTTAATTGTGAGATGTGTTTAAAATTCACCAAATGGACGATCATATTGTAGTGCATGATGGAAAATCAATTAATAAATTTTTTTAATTTCGCATTAATTAATGATGATGATGTAGAGTTGACTTGAGGGGCCAACTACCACCTCCACCATCACCACCACCACAGTGTTTGATACATGATGATCATTAGTGTAGAGGAGAGTATGTTAGAAGAAAGTGAAGTATGCACCATAATCATGTTTCTTCTTGTTTGTTTGTTGTTATTGTTGTTGTTGTTTGGTAATCGGTCGAATGGTCTGCGGAGCAATACACTTTGTTGATATCAATACACGTGTACAATTTTAACAAAATATGCACCCATTGGAAATTTGTAAAATTAATCTTTTTAGAATTGGTTATGGCATCTAATGATTATGTTATTGTTATCACTTCACTCATTCACTCACTCACTCACTCGCTAATGACTAGCCTCCTTCAAGATGAGTTTTTTTCTTTTGAAGTCTACTTGAAACGGAGCACTTATGTTCTTTGAAAGTTAACTCGAAATGCAACATGTGCAACAATAACATATATACACACACATACGCACATACACACACACACCAATTCTATTATCTAATGCAGACCTATGCTCATCTCATCGATCTTTGATTGACTATTGTATAAAATGAATAGTATGATAAACTGTTAGAATTATTATTATTATTATTATCAGAAACTGCAATGAAATCACTATTCAATGCGGCTGGTGGTTAATATTCACCAATAGTCGGTTAAGTAGTCTTGTCTAAATCATCTCAGTTAAATAATTAAGACTAATTGAATTGAATGATTGTTTCATTTTTCTCCCGTCTTTTTTTTTTGATTTCATGCATAAAATCACAATCACTCAGATATAATAACCGGTTGATGGATTGATTGTCTTTGTGTGTTTGTCCAGTTCGTAAAGCTTATATCAACAACTAGACCCTCCCCCCCCTCCACACACATACAGTTCAATTGTATTGCATTCAAACTGATTCAACACAGATGCAATTGTGAAATACCAACTGTTTAGAATTTTGCTGATAAGAACACAAACAATCCTTTTTCTTGTGTTTTTTCAACGATTAGAGACTGTTTAATGATGCACATTTTTTGTGGTATGTAGTTCATCACACTGTGTAGAAAAGAGAGAATATATGCTTAATTCATAGCGATTATTTTTAAGAACTATGGAACCCATTGATCTGAACACGGATACACTCAGTGATTTTCATTCTCTCTCTCTCTCTCTCTCTCACAAAACAGCTCATTTTGGCATTGTTAAATTGTCTCAATGCACAGGATGATAAGCAGCAACATTCCAAGAATTTTTTATACAATATTTATGCATTCAGTTTGTAACACCTTCCTGATTTTCTCTTTTTTCTTTGAAATGAGGAAAAATAGTGTTTTGCTTACGGATGAATTTGTCCTCGTCCATTACTTTATTGATTTCTAATTCGTTTTTTTTCTCTTTAATTCCTCATCAACATCTCTAAGGGCATCAGTCAACATTGGAAAGTACTTTAAAAATGTATTCTAAGTAAGATAATTAAGCTGTTCTTCATCAAATGACCTTGAATAATAAATAGAGTTCATTGGTTAATCATTTTATCCAACTTCTTGTGACTAAGAGTGGACGATAAGACTGATGAATAGAGTTAGAAAATGATCAGTCCTAGGCTACCAAGTCTCTAGCTTGAAGATCTCATGTTTAATCCTTGCTGATCTTTGGACGAAACAGGTTGTCAGTGTTCTTCCGTTCAACAATGGTCCTACCCAAGTTCAATATATGTGATGCCAAACTACTATCAGGGATGCTCATAGTGTATTTGTTGGGGACGTTTGATCCCCAGATCTCTCTTGATAAATGCCTTAATTTTGGATTTCATGTTTGCGAGCATGAGCTGATCAGTTGACGTTGAGATTTCATTTCCTACCAGGAAAATCCTTGACTGCTGTGTATTTTAGTGTGTTATTTTTGTGACTGCCCTGAGGACGTTTCTATGATGTATAAATAAACAAGATTTGTGTGTGCTTGAATGCATCGTGCTTGTTGGGTTTTTGTAGAGTATACTGTCTACGCTATATCAAGACTTTTAGTTGGTCATTGGATCAGGGTAGCCTACCTGGACGCTGGTACATAGACGCTCGTTCGCGTTTATCGATTAAGGTGAACCCTTAATAGTTTCAAGCATACCTAGTGACGAACCTAACAGTATTCTAGTAAATTTGACAAGTGGTGAATATTTCACCAACCAGATTAGGAGAGGAGAAGGGATATAACCCAAGAGACTCCTTGCCTGGTTTTATGACCACCCCAAAGCGCAGAGTGTGTGCTTTATCGCTCGGAAAAATGTGGTGTACACGGCTTTTTTAAGTTGATTAATAGGATATGAGGATGGAAAATGAGATTTGTTTTTTCAGCTTAAAATAATAAAGTTTATTTGCTTCAATTTCTCCTGCTAACAAAATGTCCAGTGGTTGTAAATATTAGGCTGATTTTACCGTTTGTCAAAAATAAATTTTCAACTTTCTCCCATCCTTTAAATATTATTATTATTATTCAGTGAGTCATTCACATTCGTTGACATAAAATATTAAGTTGTTGATGTAACCTCGTGGTAGTCAAGATGGTCTACCAGTTGATGTGCGTGCGTGTGTGTGTGCATTTGTATTGTCTGTAATTTTGCGTTTATATGTTGTCTGCGTTGCAGACGAGTCAACAGTTTAGTAGCAAATGACTCATCTGTGATTCCCAACACTTTTCTCTTTAATAATATTGTCATCTGTTCATCTATTATTGATTGGTATTGCTTGGCCATTTGACTAAATAACATTGTCTATTAAATAACGTGTAAATGTGTGTCTGTGTGTGGGTTGTTGTTATTGAATTCACGAGTTTCGCTCAACGTTACCATGTACTATTAGAGAGTATTTTAAAGTAGTCGCTAAAATCTTTTTAAAACTACTGTCTGCATATTTATGTTGTTGTCTATTGTCTACCTTACGACGTCTTGATAACTTTTTCACTGCGATCCCGGTAAACTTAACAACACATTATTATTATTATTATTATTATTATTATTATTATTATTATTCTAATAAGTAGATTCATCTGACAAGTTTCGAATATGATTAAAGTGACTACAACTTTCATTTTCATCACTTTTTATGTTGTAATCATGCGATAGTGTTAATCGAGACATATTCTTGTCAAGTTATATTAACTAATTAAGTAAATTATTTTAACTGAATGTCCTGATCTTTTTGTAAATTGTTTCATTCTCGTATTTCTTGTATTCAAAACATTACTGATAGTTATGTAAGAAATTATAATTCACTAGTTGAATGAATATGAGCCATACTTGTAAGGAGGATTCAAATGTAGACAATTCGCCGTCAGTTGTTGAATAATCCCTTCATCACTGACTGTCAGTAAGATGATACTTTGTCAAATGATATTCATCATGATGACGTTAAGTTGTTTTTTGTAAAATGAAATGACTAAGCCTTATACTTTATGCAACTTTTCTATTTCAATCAAGTCTAGATAATTGATTCATTGAAGAACACACCCATTATAGTTTCTATATGACTATTTGAGTGAACAATGAGGAAGACTATGGGTATACATTATTTGTGTGTGTTTTTTTTAAATATATGGTCACATGCTATTTGTTGTTGTATTATAGTGTATCTGTCATACAGAACAATTTATATTTTAATCTGTTTCATTCAGTAATTTTCTAAATGTACAATAGGAGAATACCTATTTAATGAATGATTAAGTCTGCAATAAATCAAAGAGTGTTTAATTATCTACTTTTAGTATAAGGTTTTGTAAAAACAATTTTCTAATTGTCATAGCTTTTAAATCACAAACTGATCTTAGCTAGATAGTCATTAGAAACTGCCAGAGAGAGTAGAGTCATCGTAGTATTGAGACTTCTCAATTCTGTGTGCATCCACGACCGCGCCACGATTTCACATGTGAACTCCTACCCTCTAGACCATTGAGCCATTAACCAACAGTGTGTTAATTGAAGTGTGTTGTCAGAACTAAAAATCATTCGGTAGTAGTAAATCTTGTTAACCAGTAAATATCATAAACCAATCGGAAACTTTAATACACATGATCGTCTCCGTCATGTTTTTATAGCGATATATAACTCCACAGTAAGGTTGACTACTTTTATTTTTTTGACTTATGCTAAGGATAATGTTTGTTACAAAAGAGAAAAGATGGCATCAGCCAACCACCTAACATTGAATGTTGTGATGATGAATCGTCAGATGCAAATTATTAACAGAGAACAATGTCAGTGAGCTACACATTGTTTGCAAAGTTTCATATCATTCAACAACTACTACATGAATTGCATTACTAATGTGTCAGGCAAAGGACAACATTTTAAATGACTGATATTCATTATTTAATGAATTAAAACTGGCTTACTTACTCATCAATAGTGGAAATGTCACTCACTTTATCAATGAAATATGTGTTATGTATAGTTTTTCACTAGTGTGCATTATAATCAATAATCATTTGTTTGTTTTCATTTATTATATTGAACTCTATGTGTGTGTGTCCCATAAGGATGTTGTGTGAAGTTGATATTGTTAAAGTTCACAGATAGAACACTTTTTCATAAATGTAATTTAACTCTAGTAGAGAATTTCAAACGTCGAAAACATTAGTTGGAATTGTTTTCCATTTACAGACTTTTTAGTTCTGTTGGAAAATCTTTCTTACCAGCTATATCAATATTAAAATAAGTATTTGAGTTCTGATTCAAATACTTTGAAATATTGCGGAAATTCATTCATCGTCTTTGGGCTGCAGTCAGTAGGAGCGTAGGCATA